TAGTCATTTAGTTCAGTAGTAGATCTGGATTTACTCCTAAAACATAGAAAATAACATATTAAATATGCCTTATTAAGAACATATTTTTATATGTATGAAGTAAAAGCACTAGAAAAGACTAGTAAATGACTTATTTCCTATGTCTGCTAAGACCTGAATTTATTTCTGAACCAAGGGGTTTTTCATATTGTGCAAATTAGCAGAAAACAGAAGCGACACTAGGAACAGACACATATGTGGAGAGCCTCCTCTTTGATTATAAAACAGTGAAGACTGATATGGAACAGCTCTGTCAGTGTTCACGCCAGGCCAGTTCTCAGGCTTGTCAGGTTTACAAAGTACCTGCCTCTAGATCATCAGAGTCAGGCTGCCCTACCCCCTCCACACTGTCCCATACCAAGATGTGGATGTCTGAGGAATTATGATGCCAGAGATCACTCTAGAACAGTCATTCACCAAATGCTACCCTTGCATTCCAAAGAGTTAGTAAAGGCATATGGACTGTACCAGTGGATCTGAAAAAGATATTTTTAGGTCTATAAACGGCCACGGAATCATTTCCTTCTCATTCTACTACGTTCATCAAGCTTCAGAAATAGTAATAACTTCTTGCATAAATGGCATCATTACATAGTACAAATAATACAAATGCACACGTATATATGCAATGTATATCTGTAGGCAATGCAACAGCCTATACTGCATGATGTTGTATAGCAATTGTTAGGCATCTGCAATAATTCTACTTGCATTTTCACAGAAGAAAACACTTATTTCCAGATGTCAGGCAGCACTCGCAAAGCCTCCAGTGCATCCTTTGTATGAGCACTGCCTTTCCACCTTCCAGGAATAATCAAGTTTCTTTCCCTGCATTTTAATTCTTTTCTCCAAAATAATGAGTTATGGAATGTTTTAAGCACTAAATAAATTCTTAACTTTAAAAAGAAAGATACATATTTTAATGAACTGTAGTTACTCAGAGAGGTTCATTATAAAATAGGTTCATTATAAAATAGGTCAGACTTTTTCTTTCCAGCTGTTGTATGCCCATTCCTACCTCCTTACTCTTGTTCTCCTTTTTCATTGTTCAGTCATCCTGACTGCCTCTAGATGGAAGCCTTTCCTTAAATCTAACAAGGAAGGTAAGCTTTCTAAAGGAGGAATTTCAGCTCTGCAAACAGAAGCTAGTGATCCCATACTGGACATTTATAGATCAACTGTTCAAAAATCCTTCATGATTTCAAAAGTGCAGAACATTTAAAAAATTGCTTTAAAACACACCGGGCATGGTGGCGCACACCTTTAATCCTAGCACTCGGGAGGCAGAGGCAGGCAGAGCTCTGTGAGTTCAGGGCCAACCTGGTCTACATAGTGAGTTCTAGGACAGCTGGGACTACAGGGAGACCCTGTCTCAAAAAGATCAAAAAAAAAAAAAAATTAAAGCATAATGGTTTAAGAAACATTAAACATCTGTAACTGTTCAGACAGTGAAATCCCATTTTCATTCCTAAAACTGACCAGTGGTTCTGACCAAATTATCTAAGAGAAAAGTCACAATTTTCATCACAGACCATAGAAATGTAATCAGTTTTAGGTAATCTTGAGCCATTGCTCATGCCTTTTTAAAACAAATGTTATACTGGGTGAGGTGATGCACACTTGTAATCCCAGCTCTTAGGAAGTTTGAGGAACGAGGATTGCTAGTCAGAACTACATAGTGAGTTCCAGGCTAGCCTAACTACTCAGGTACCTACTGAGCCCCTATCTCAAAAACAAATAAATACAATTAAAACATTATGGTGGGTGATCAAAAAGGGACAATTCTATGACTCCTCCCACAAAGAAAGTTTTTCTTCTCTCTGTGGATGTTTTTTGGTTTGTTGTTGTTTTGTTTGTATTTGAGACAGAGTTTTGATTATGTGCTCCAGCCAGATTTGAACTCACAGTAATCCTTCTACCTCAGCTTCCTGAAGGCTGTGAGCACAGACATGCACTATGCCTAACTTGAGTCAGTTATTTGACTTCACTTGAAATAACTTAGATCTCAAGATACCCTGTTGGCAGTCATTCTTCACTTCTGTCTCTTCTGTACCATGTATGTAAGACTGGATTGCTGGATGAGGAAGACATCTGACCCAGTTACTCTCATTGCCTGAGATGCCATCCAGCCAACACCTCAAAACAGAGCTCCCTGGCAGCAGATGTGTGACCAAGCCAACTGAATTCAGCACACAATCTTGACCCACAAAATCATGAGCCAAGTTTAAAGGTAATTGTTGTACGGCAAAAATAAAATGATAGAAAAAACAAGTTTACAAGTTCTCTTTGTATCTCACAATACAAAAGGCTACGGTAGCTCTATACATCACCTAGGGGAGCTGTGAAACACTGTTCTGAAGCTAGTTAGCATCAACCAAATAAAAGGAAATGGTCTACACACCTGTCACTAGGCAGCAACTCTGAAGAGTCTTCCTCTCTCTTTGGTATATCATAGGAATCAATAGGTCTAAAAGGGGAAAATATATTCAAAATACCAATTTTGATACATTCCTTAAGAATAAAATATTATTCTAGTCTCTATGAAAATGGTCTACGGTTAAAAACTAGACAAGAATTTCAATCAATCACTGCAGAAAACAGAACTACTACTACTACAAGATTTGCTACTGACACATTTCACTCTACAAGTTTACACCACGGGCCTCCATGTTCTGATAAGGATTTATGACTACAAATGTGTTGGCTTTGTAGCACATTTTCTTGGAACAGGCAGGTCAAGTGACAAATGCGGGCATCATATAAATAGGTCAGTGTCACTGCAGTAAGAAACAGTGGGAACACAGCATGTACTTTAAATGGGATATTTTGGAAAGGCTAAGTTGGTGATGTTGGGGCAGAAGTTTGAATCAAATGAGTAAGCCACACAGAGACATGAGGAAAGATGTTTGCAGACAGAGGCAACAAAAGACACAAAAGCCCGAGCAGAGTGCTGGCATTTTCATAGGAGGAAAGCAGGCCATGTGTCTAACAGTGTGCATCTGTAAATGTCTAAGTGCTAAGGGTTACAAAAAAGGGCCAAGACAGAGCTCAGATAAGCCCCTCTTTGCTTTGTCAAGGATTTTGTATGGTGTTTTAACATGTCAGGAAGCCATACCAGGAACTAAAGGAATTACAGTGACATGATTGTATTTGTGGTGCAAAGGCTCCTTTAAACTGCTTGGTAGAGCAAGGATGGTGGAGAAGCACAAGGTGCATGAAGGTAGACACAACAAAGCCAAGCCTATTGACACTCCTTGGTGCCCTTCAGCTGTGGACAGACCTCCGATACTGGTATATTTTGACTGAAGTTTCCCTCTCCCTCTCTGCCTGGCACTTCTGCGCTTCGGCCTCGGCCAGGGCCTCCGCCTCCCGCTTCTTCCGCAGCTCTTCCTCTTCCTGAGCCTGCAGTTCCTTCTGTTTCCTCTCCTGCTCAAGCATAAGCTGTTCCTGCAGCTTCTGTCTTTGGTCCTCATGAACATCATCCTCTCCCAGCTGTCCACTTTCCTCCTCTCCTGCTCGAGTTCCTTCTCTGTCGGAAGACTTGGATCCTTCACTCCAGTTGGCTTCCCAGGTGGCAACCGCAGGCTCCTGGGTGGTCCGAGAAACGCTGTTTGACTTTAAGACCATCAACTCCTATGCAGCCAGTGGGAAAAAGAAACACAACTCCATCTGCATCTGTGCCATTTCACACAGATTGAGTTTCAGATGAGGTGAATGGGAGCAGCCCAGAATTCCAAGAAGATAAAGATTCAGCACCAAAAATCCCACACACATAACTGAGGTCTAAGAAGAGAAAGACCTCCCAAGTTCTAGTAGAATAATTATTTGATGAAATAGTAGAAAAAACTAGGAGAGAGGTTGAAATACACCAAAGCAAAATTCTAACACACTGGAGCTCATTCTAATTTCAAAAAAAGCTACAGAGGCCAGAGTGGGTACAGGGAAGAGTCTTGCTCCTTGGCTAGTTCTGCCAACAAGGTAGAGAGAAGAAAGAAAGCTAACAAGGCATGCTTCAGTGCTACCTCATCCAAATACTTGGAACTCTCTCTCTCGGCCTCCTGTTTAGCCCTCTGCCACTCTTCCCTCAGTTTCTCTTGCTCACGCTGGTATTTTTCCTATGAGAAAATACGGCATAACAATTAATCAAGGTTGACTTTTCGTGTGAAGCAGAATATTCTCCATTTACAACTTTGCTTTCTCTAAACCTTCACGTCAACCTTTAAAGACGGTGACTTTATTTTAATATAATCAATGAGATTTCAGTCTCTGAAGCAAAAGAGAGCTTGGAATGAGCTAAAATGCAGGTAGCAGGAAAGATAGGTACACAGATCAAGACTTACGCCCACCCTTTATCATTGATGTAACTCTTTACAGCCTTCAGCTAATGGTAAGGGAGACTGACTGCAAAAACAGACTTCATCTACCACTGAAGGGTCAGGACTCAGAATATGCACCTCTCACTCCTGACCATGCCCTTTGTGTCTCTAAAGTATTCATAAGGGCTGATAACTGATGATTTCAGAACTCTACAAAATGGAAAAGTAATGGTTTAATGCAAAATGTGCAACATGCAAAGGGATGTGTTAGTGATGAGACTGCTGGTATCACTACACATTTCAAATTTGCTTCTCAACACTGGTTGACATGGACCGGAGAAGAGCAATGGCTCAGCCAGACCATCTGGCACTACCTGCAGTAGTCGGTCCTGCTCCTTCTGCCACCGCTCCTGCCGCTTACGCTCCTCCTCTTGATCCCATGCCCAGCGACTTGGGGCACTGAGAGTTGGAACTGGAAGCTAACCAGTTTATGGCACAAACACAGAATAACACAAATCCATTAAGTCATCTACTGAACCACTTCCAGAGGCATCAGTTATTCAACTCACACTTGCTTAAACTGTACCAGAAAAGATGTGGCTATACATTTCAATTTCAGTCTTTTCAGCATATAAGTACTATAAACAGATCAACTTTATGCATCTTAATATGGGAAATGCTAGTGTAGCAATACAGTTCCACCAAGCTTCCTTTACTTATTCCCAACTACAAAAGAATACTACTTACATCAGGAACCACAGAATCAGAGCTTCCTGCATTACAGCACATGGGCAAGGAGAGAAGAAAAACAGTATGAGTCTCTACTTGTATGAAATAATTCTTTCCAGAAAATTAGATCACTAGCTATCTCTATACCAGTATACCAAGTGACATCAATTTTCTTTGTAACACAGCAATATGTATATCCTTTTCTGGTCAGTTACATCTGTATCTGTACTCATCTTCCAAATGCAAAGTTGGTTAAAAAAAAGTAGACTACTGGTGCTTAAAACTTGAGGGACTGCAGCCGATTCAGTGAATCTTTCTGAAGAGAGTTCAAAATTTGTTACTAAACCGAGCAGTATTTCATAAATTGGCTTAGCAGTGGGGGAAAGATATCAAATATTACAACATCTCCAAAACTCCAATTATTGCAAATATTCATCAACAATATGACAGTGGCAATTCTCATTTTCCAGGCCTTTTTTCTAATTTGCTAATTTTTATCAATATGCCATTGCAAAAAACAAGCTCAAGAAATATTTTCCTCTTCTATTCTTTGAAACACAAGTATTCGATTTTGAGGTGTAAATTGCCAGGCACTATTTATTTAGTTAGTATCTTAGTTTTTTAAGACAGGGTCTCATGTAGCCCAGGCTGTCCTCAAACTCAGCTATGTAGCCAGTAATGACTTTGAACACCTAATCTTCTGCCTCTACCTCCCAAGTGCTAGGATTACATCTCTGCACCACCATGCCTGGTCTATTTTCAAAATGATTATTTTGAGACAGGGTCTCACTATTTAGCCCAGGCAGGCTTTGAATTCTCAGTCTTCCTGTCTCTGCCTCCCTACTGGTAGAATTAGAGGTGTGTGCCACCACATCTGGCAAACTTATTTTTTTAGTTTCATAGTGCTTGTATAAACGTGTCTATATATTGTATACTTATAGAAAAGTAAAACTTCAGAAAATACACTATTGTAGTTTGAAATTTTCCTGAAACCTCAGCTATCACAAAATTATTTACTTACATAACTATTTAAAGAAAATTGTTTTAAGACTTAGAAAACTGTTATTCACTGAAATAGCTTTTTGATGAAAATTGAAAGAAAACTAGAATAGAAAAAGACAAAAAAATTGAGCCAGTTTAAATTAGGAGTATATGTCACTTCAATTAAATAGCTACAGGAAAAGAGTTTAGGAAAACTAGCACTCAAAAGCACTAAGGATAACCAATAAGCTCTTTCTGTTTACAGTCAGAGAGACCTTAAAATCTGTCTTAAGAAGAATATTAGGCAATTAACAAAACAGACACAAACCCAGTAGATATTATAAAGCAAATTTTGAAGCATTTCATCAATCTTAAAAGAAATAGCAACATTTTAGATAAGTGTAAACCTCCTCTGAACATTGCATCTAAAATGTTAGATATTGCTTTTAAATTCTTCATAGCAAATCAGAGTTGGAACCACATTAATGAGAGTGAGACAGCCATTAGAGAGCCATGAAGAGGAAGAAAAGTCACATGCATCACACCTCTCAAGGCAGCTTTGTCCAACTACACCAACATATACATCATTTCAAAATGCACCCATTCTCAGAGGCAACTGAATTTTCTTAATGCTGAATTTACTTTGTCATCAACAGAACAATCATTATCAGCTCTCCAAAGCTATCATTTCAATTGCAAGTAGCTTTGTTCTTTAGTAATAGCATTTTCCACAACCAAAAATAGGACAGTTTTTCAAAAGTTGACAAAATATATGTTGGTGTAATCTAACATTGTGCAGTTGATAGGATGTAGTAGGGCATAAATGAAATTCCTCATTTCTTACTGTTACCCAATGGAAAGACAGGTGTGTTTAACAGCATCTCAGTGTTTTTATTTTTTTTTTCACAAAGTTAAAAGAGAGAACACCTTAAGAGCTATACAAAGGACACACAAAGACCCATTACCACAGAGGTAGACCCATGAACTGTAAGAAAAGCCTGACGATCCTAGGGAAAGAACGGAAATGGGTTACATTGCTTGGTCATAACTATAGCCAAATGCAAGAGGCTTGGTGCCCAGAATCACAGACCATGAGGAAGAGCGGGGAGTGAAAACAAACATCTGAAAGTCCATGAATGCTTAGCCTTTGAGGTTTACCTTGTTCAAAAAACTGTGATCGCCTTTTTAAATTTCTCAAAGAAATGGATTCTGATGCTAGTTGAAAAATAAGAAAATAAATACCATGTCATTCATTTTAATTTCTTACCACTGGAAAATTCAATGATACCTGATACACCTTTCCAATTTGTAACAATATTATATTTAAAATAACAAAACTAGTAGCCATAGAAAATTCAGATTACTTCAAGGCAGGCGCACATATTTTAGTATTCTACACTACACCCAAATTAGTAAAAGGAACACTTTATTAATCATTTTTAGTACACAGCTTTGTACTTTCACAACTATGAAGTCCACATCATTGCGCTGGATCAGAGAGCTTCAGCAAAATGAAGGCTTAGGTTAATCAATCCAGTATTATCTCTACCAAAACATTAGCACAGCATGATGAAAGAATTTTAAAACTTTAGGCAAAGTGGATAACAAAATAAATACTACCCTAAGAAAGATCAAATGAAAACAAATACTAAAATGAAGGTATCTGTGAACTAGAATAAATAGATTTTAAGATCTTTAATATGCTGACTTAAGTTTTTTTTTTTAAAGATGGAGTTCAGTCAGAAAGAAAAAGAAACCTGAGTGTAACTTCTGCCATAGATCTGTCACGAGACCACAGCAGGAAATAAAAATGTGAGTACTGTTGCTGCTTACTTATCTAAAGAAGGCAGTCAGGTGGTCAACCCTGCAGAGTCCGACTGTCTACATAGGTGTCTTATCAGTTGACTCTGCCTGGGCCATGGACAGAACAGGACTGGGATTCTTTGGATTTTTAAGTGTCATGAAGAAAAATAAGCAATGCGTGTTTTAAAACGCCTTTGATAAAGAATACAACTTTAATAAAATCAAAATATAGCCACTTTCAACTATTAGAAATGAATGACAAATATAAATTGTGAGGAAAGGCACAAACTTTTGTTGGCTTCGCCCAGGGTATTTACAAACTGCTCAATGTGTATTTAGTCACCGAAGCAAATTCAGCCCCATTGCTGGTGGCCTGACTTCATGGTAAAAGACATTGCATCTTCCTCTGGTCTCATATCTGCCTATGTGGACCAGAGAGATCTTTCTTGTATGCCTAAGAAATCACGCACACACGGTGTGCAGTAGCTAAATTATTTCTGGATTGGTAAAGGAAAGAACAAAGTGAGAACAACAATACTATCCTGGATACTTTGCCTTTTTTTTTCATTACAAATTAGCATGATCACCTCAACTGTGACCATTGGTGTTTCTCTGCTAAGATGAGCCATGTGAACACTCGTCCCTTTCAGAACAATGAAGTGGAAAAGGAAACTTCATCATTTTGTGGTTCATGAAGATCTTTCTGCCAACACACCACAGCCAGGAAGCTGCTGGCCTCAGGAAAACCTGTTCTTATTTGGCATAGGCACATAAGCACCCAGCTCCGGAATGAGCTGCCAAAGTTGTGTTTGCAGTTCCTGCAGTCTTGTGGAATGGATTCCCTTCCACCTAGCTGCAACTGGATCTGCACACTGGTCTTCTAGTTTCAACTTGCAGCATATCCGGTTTTCCTTCACTTACAGACATTAATTTTTATAGCAGAATTTGAGAGCTATGACTTATCTTCTGGAACAAATGAAAGGAATTAAGGGGTGATATTTACCTTTTGATTCAAAAGAGTTGGTTTCCTCATGAATTCCATTGATTTCTTTCGATTTTGTATACTGAAAAGGATGAAAGTGCTAATTAACTTTCTCTCCATTGGACTTTGGGCTTAAATAATGCATTTCTCATTAGTGAAAATATCTTTTAACAAGATGGGTTTTCGGGTTATTGATTCATTCTTCACAGCTTCTAACAAGCAGTAAAAACTCAATTTTTTTTTCATTATTCTATAGTACTTGTAAAAGGATTAATGACTAGCTACAGGCAAGGATGACCTTAAGTTTAATCAGTCATTAATATTCTAAGAAACATGATAAATAAAACAGTCATCCATTCAGAAGGCTTATGTTTATCAGTAAGCAAAATAGACATTTACGATTCTTTAACATTTAAATCTTTCCTTCAAATTTTTGTAGTACTTCCTTATATAAGTTTATAGACTTCCATATATAAGTATCAGCTCAAAGTTTAAATTATTGATTCAAATGAACAATTCCATTTGGAAATAGAAACCACACCTTTTCTCAAAACCTGTACGAAAACATATTGCTTTGACCCTTAGATGTCTGCATTACGCTCTTTGAATTAATTAATGGAACTGATTATGTGTTAATCATGCATGCAATCTAATCTATCAGATTCACTCACACAATAATCAAAATGTTCCATGAGGTTTTATGGTGGGCAGAATGACAACATTTTGCCAATAAAGACTAGAGAACGCATAGATGATTTATAGTATATAATTTTCTATAATTGCTACATTCACAAAGATCTGACAGATGGTGGCAATGATGGCAAGAAATCCCTGCAGAGCAGCATTATGGAACCTTTTGATGTTACCAGTGTGTAACTCACAATAGTCTATGAATTAATAATGTCCTATATATTCAAAACTACATTTTAGTATGCCTATATACATAACCTAATTATTTCTGTTCTTATATAGAATTAAAATGGTCCCAACGAAATCATTCCCTCCCCCACATACAACCTTCGTTGTTGCTTTGCTCTGCAGAAGCATCCCCACTTCTCAAAAATACTTACAGGACTTTGAAGACTTTCGGAGAAATCAGTTGTTGTCGATAGACTTGAAGATTTGTCTGAGCTGTAAATTCCTGAAGTTGTATCAATCCACTTTGTTTCAGCTGAACCTATAATTTTGGTAGCCATACTGGTGAGATTGAGGGTTTTATGCCGTGTGAATGGTAGGGAAGGTAGGTCTTTGCCCCAGTCTGATTGGCACATGAAGATCAAATAATGAGTGCATATAGATGATGAAGTGGAAAGAATAAAGTTACTGAATGCACAGACATAATAGACAGACAGACAGACAGACAGACAGACAGACAGACAGACAAATCAACTAGTGTGTGAAAGGCATGAAGACTTTAGGGCTTTTACCAGCAGACCACCTTCCCCAAACACAAAGGTTAAAACAATGGTAGTAATCAGAAGACTAGCAAATGTGCTGATTCTGTCCATAAACTGCCAACATATATTATAAGCTGCCCTCAACAGTCTTAAGTCTAGAGACACTTAATGCCCTTCCCCCTGTGAACCACAACGTAGGATTCAGAAATGTAATACTGGAAAAGGCAGCCTGAAAATTCTCTGACAACAAATGAGAACACGACCTAATTGCTTCCCACTTGCACCAGTGCAGCTACAATACAGGAGAAAGTTAAATCATGGTGCCATTCCTAAGGCTCTGCTTCATGACTCCTGCATACAGATACATTTGCCTAGAACTGACAAATTTTGCATTCAGTCACATCAGTAAAGCAGTCAAATAACGTAGAGTTCAGTAGATTTGCTAGTGAAGAAGACAGAATACTCAGAGGCGGTGCTCATGATTTGTCCCAACATAATGATAAAATGCTTTCAATCAGAAAAACAAGCAAAATGGAAAAAAAAAGGTTAGTAAAGCAAACTGTTATAACCACTTGCTGAAGACCAAAGACCAGTTTCCCAATTTAGAAAGCCAGGCACAGTGGGAGGCTCACTCACCAGACTTTCCATAGCGCCTGACATCCATCACTAAGCTTCCAGTTTCTCGAGCGTTCGCCATGGCTTCCTCCCACTCTTCTGTATCCTTATATGAAAACTTGGTGTTGTTAAGAGCAAGAACTTCATCATCTATCTGCAGCTGAGAAAATTCTGCTGGGCTACCTAAATAACGTAAGATAAATTAAACAATCAAATGAAAAAGAGCCCACATGGCCTACTCCTTGCTGTTTAAGAAAAATGACTTCATCTCAACCAGTTCTCAATGTTTCCAGTAAAGAAACAAGAATTATTTTTCAGATAACAAATATGTGAGTCCCCCACCATATGAAGCACCAAAGGTATTTTTTTATTCCATAATCTGCATCTCCATTTACACTGAATGAAGAAACGGTAACTTCACCTGCTCAATAAAAATGTTTAAACCTCCTAGAGACAAAGAAAAAGTTTGTTTTTCTATCCTAAAATGTGAAACATAGTGTACTTTAATTAAGCATCAATTTGCACTCTGGAAGGAAGTAGAAAGAAAGAGTCTTAAAACTTCTCAATATTACTACTAAAGTGCTACTCACAAGTTAATCTTGAAATTTTGAACCAATGCTAACACGCACTATTATGCAGCCAAAGCACATAAACTAAAGCCTCTTCTCAAATATGATAAATCCTACTATAATTTTAGTTCTTGAGGACAAATTTTGCAGTTGCTGGGTTTGACCTGGCAAACCTTGGGTGTGGGAGGACTAATCCCTCTTCAGAATTCTTCAAACACCCTAAAGATACAATCAGCAACAAATAGATACTAACAATGTTCAAAAATGGCCACTCTGGGATAGGCATGTAGGTCAGGGATGGAGCACCTGCCTAGCATGTGTGATACCCTCAAGCCAATCCATCACAATGAAATAAAACAAAATAACCCACCCCTTTGATTTATTATAGAGCATGTATATGCCTGCCACAAAGCACAACTGCTCATGAAAAATTCACATGGAATCTTCAAATAGGTACTATTAACATTTCTAGAAATTAAGCTTAATTTTAACAAATTCTCTAACATAACAAGACTCTTCAAAACTAAAATCAATTAGGCAAGGAAAAGAAATGATATGTAATTTTAACTCCAACCACTAGTGTCAGGGAAGAGGATGCATTTCCTTTATTCACAGAGATGCATCTTTCCCATATTTTCCCCTCCCATACCAAAGCAAGAACTTTCTGTACTTTTCCCCACACTGCAGCACAACAAAGAAGACAGAGCAATAAAGTCAAGTCTGTGGTTTACCTGCTTCAACTGATGCTATGAAGATCCCAGAAAAATCCCATTTTACTGTGAACCCAAAGTCAAGGCTGTTCCCAGGCGTCTGGTTTATGCTGATTCTCATATCACTGAACTGATCCTGAAAACGAAACATGAAACGCTGGTGTCAGGTGTCCCTGGTACCCACATGGAGGAAAACCTATCCACGAAAGACGGGAAGCTTCACCAAGGAGTACAGCTGAGTTATTTTACGACAAAGCAGCAGCTTCCTCTTTCTTCCTTGGGTTTGATAAAACTTTTTATGTTAGTATCAAAGAGTATTTTTACACTAAAATAGAGGCAAGTCTACTATCAATAAATGTTTTCTTCATATTCATGTAATATTATGGACCAGCTGTCCATCAGTAAAGCTTGGGCTTCTGCTCACCATGCAAACAAATATAATTTATAGACCATTTATGTGGTATAAATAAAACCAAATCCTAATTGCTCAGCAGTTTCTTAAATTATTTTCTAAACCAAATTTTGGTTTCACAGTAAACTGTCTTTGTTTAAATACCATTCATATGCCAGCAAGATGGCTCAGTGAGTGAAGGCACTTGCCACCAATCCTGACAATCCAAGCTGGATTTGGATTCAGAAACACGGGAGGAAGGAGAGAACCAAGTCCTACAAGTTGTCCTCTGACCTACACACACACACACACACACACACACACACACACACACACACACGATAAATAGATGATTTTTAAACTTTTAAAGCATCTTTCAGAACATTTATTTCATTTGAGGTAAGCAACAGGTAGAAACTGTAATGAGTTTATCAAACTAGCCTTTTATTTTTTACTTTCTAATCATAAATAACTTAGATTCACCTATTAAAAAAATCTTTCCAAGTCTACTTTACTTTTCAGAAGACAGACTACCAACTCTTGATTTTAATTTGTCAGTTAAACATGAACCTAGGGCCAGTGGAGCAAGTAATAACATTTTCTGCCTATGCTTCTCCGCCTATGTTTTCTAACCATAAGTTCAAAATTCAAGTCACAGTATTCTGAGAAAAACTGGTATAATACTTAAGAATTATAAGAAAGGAAAGGAAGAATTGAATACAGAAACAAGCAGTTGCTAAGCTTTATGAACACATGGAAGTATCGTAATACTATTTAGTTGTGCATGTGTTCAACATACATTTATTGTGACATATTCTGTGTAAGACACAATACTTAGCACTTTGGAATAAAATAAAGTTGAATGAAGTATTATCCTAGTTCTCATAAAGTAATTACTGATGCTCAACTGTGGTAATGGAATTTTTTTGTTTTTTAAGCAAGGAAAAAGTGTAGTTAGTAACAAGTTTCCACCAAGAAGCCTTGTGAAAAGCAGTTTAAATAGAGGCATCCAGATATAGTCAGAATGCATATTAACAGTCAGTCTGATGAAGGTTACTCTGAATGTAATAAAGCCTTGCTAAGAATAGAATAGAAAAAGTTACTGGTTAGTTATACCCTTTAGCCAAAACCACCATCCACTTAAATTAGAGGTGACTCAGTGAAAATAAGTGGTCATCTTCACCACACAGAAAAACTGAATTGAAGCCAATGAAAGTACAGAATCTACTGCTATATAAGGACAGAGAGACAAATGACGGGCTAGATATTCAAATCACTAATTGGGGATTTTTTTTAGTTGAATAATAAAAGACAGGACAGTGTTTTAATAAATAGTCTCAAACTACATTAAAAATATTCTGTGGGAGACTACAAGTGATTTTCCTTTTCCTCTGGGTGTAAGATGAAGGAGAATGAGCTTGTGCCATACAGAGAAGAGCCTCCCAGCATAGTAACCAGAACTGTGCCCCAAAGGCTGTTCTGAGTTGAACATAAATCTCTAAGCATGTCAAATAAAAGGACAGATAGACAGTTTTCTGATCTGCAAACATGGAAGACAGCCTTCCCATGGGTATATTCTGGCAGACTGCCCTGTCAACCCTTTGAACAAAAAAGAGGAGAGTATGGACAATTACAGGTGAATTCCAGTCACTACCCAAACATGCTATTGAACATTGGTTTTCAAGTTTCTTATAGTTGAAATTCTACTTTCAAATGACAACCTTATGCAGTCAGGCTCCTCCCCAAGATATACATACATATGTGTATGTAAATATATATGTGAATATATGTATATATGTGTATATATGTATATGTGTGTGTAAATGTGTATATTATATATGTATATGATTAAAGTAGGTGAAGGTTGTTGAAGTAGAAGGGTTGCAGGTTCCCAGGTTGCCTCCTCCTTCTGGAATTCCCCGAGGTATTTCTGTGGAAATACCTGGCTTTCTGTACTACTGGATTACTCCCAAGACTCCTTACATATGAACATAACTATAATTATGTTCATAAATGAACTACACAACAATGATTTCAGGTAGAATCTCTACTACCTCAACTTTCTCACCAAATCAATATTATACAAAGGATCTGAACTACAGAAAATGATAGGGAATTACCTTTTGAACTAGACAGAACAAGAACATAATTTACTGAGGGAAACCTAGATTTCTGATGACTAATAAACTACCCAAAGTGGTTTCAGTTGTCTATGCCAGAAAAGAGAAAATAACATTTATTCATCAACGACTCAGGATTTAAAATAAAAGCAATATCCCTCAAATTAGGTACAATTTGAACAGAAGTACCCACTGAAACCTAAGATTGTCTACCAATTGTCAGAATGATGAACCAGAAGAAGACTCTAATTACTTAAAGACAAAGATGGCTTGGTTTCACAAGAGTAGAAATTATTTTTCCAGAATTGATGAACTAAGATTTTCATGTTACCACTGATGAGAATTAATGAAAATCAGAGTCAATCTTCTGTACTAACAATTCAGAAAATTGCTGGTATCTCTCTCATGCCTTTCTGAGAGAACACAAGCTCCACATTTCACAAATAAATTCAGTTCAGGGGAAGTTTTTACGAACATATACTACCTTTCCTCAAAATGATTTTAAGAGTAGGCATGCTGGCAGACTCCAGCAAGACCCTGTTTCAAAATATAACATGACCAAAAATGTGTAGCTCTATAGACCACAAGGCACTTCCATTCCCATTGGCTCTAACAGTCTGAAAACAGCAATAGTAAAAATAAGTCAGCTTGGGCCTGGAGCAATGGCTCAGCAGTTAAGAGCACTGGCTGCTCTTACAAAGGACCTGGATTCAATTCCCAGCACCCACATGGTGGCTAGTAACTGTCTATAACTCCAGTTCCAGGAAAATCTGACACCCTCTTCTGACTTCCACCAGCATTGCATGCACAGGTACACTTACATACATGCAAGCAATACACTCATATACATAAAATAAAATAAAAACAAATAATAAGTCAACAGATTACAAGGAAATTGTGTTGTCTGGACACTATAGAGTAGTTTGAACATATGAACCCATAGCACTTATGACAGCATGTACAAGACCTGTGCAAACTCAAGCAAGACAGGGGCCCAGCATGGTTGGGGGAGGTGGTCAAGAAGCCCCAGCCCTAGCTGAGATTCTTTTGGCATTTGATGGATGCTAGGAGAGAGCGAGTCAGTTTTTCCTACTGGTGTGATGCCTGGTAGGTTGACCAGACCCCAAGGGACAGACCCACATCCAAGAGTACTTGGGAAACACAAATTAGACTCAATAAGCTTTAAAAGAAAAAAAATGAAAGAAAAGGACAAATAGTGATAGAGGACATGAAGGGAGTAGCAAGGTGGGGAGGAGAGGGGGAAGGGTCTGAATATGATTAAAATACAGTGTATGAAATTCTCAAATCAAAAGTTAAGAGCCAGGCATGGTGGTGCACACCTTTAGTCTCAGCACTGCAGAGGCAGAAGCAGACAAATCTCTGTGAGACCAAGTCAAGGCTACCATGGTCTACACCGCAAGTTCCAGGCAACCTGTGGCTACAGATAGACCTTGTCTCAAAATACCAAAGAAAATAACAAAATAAAAAATAAAATCAGTCAGCACTAGTGACTAATGACACAGAAGTCAATCATGAGATGTGAGCATTCATATAGAAGAGGAAAGTACTTAGCATCAGGGGAGTTGTAGTCAGGCCTATGTATCACCAGCTTGAGGAAGTCATATAACTGAAATCTCAAGTACTTCACCAGCAAAAACAGGGATAATACTACCTACTTTGAAGTTTACTGAGAAGATGAAATGAAGTATTTAAAAGGTGTCAAAGCACATGGATGATGCTCAGTACTTCTTTCTCTTTTTTCCCTTGGAAACAGTATTAAACATGATGTACAGTTTCCAGACCAATTCAAGAAATGCTATCTAACTTATATACTTAGTTCAAAAGCCAAGAGGACACAGTTACCCTTGGTTAGTACAGTTCCAGGACCTCTGTCAACAGGGAGAAAGATGGGGGTTTGCTTCCCACACTCCCAGAGAGCTGGCTCTAGGTGAAGATGTGACTTAAAAGTATTAAGCTAGGATAAGGAAAGCCCCTGCTATTTAAAGGGGTTGTCAGTACTCGGGATGGATCTCAGGCAGAAGCAAGCGGATCTCTGAGTTCAAGGCCAGCATGGTCTAAGCATGGTCTATATAATGAGTTCCAGGACAGCTGGGGCTACAGGGAGACCCTGTCTCAAAAAAAAAAAATTACCTAAGTGTTAACAATAATTATTTCTTTTTTTAAAACATTATTATTATTATTATTATTATTATTATTGTTATTCCTATATTTCCCAAGTGTCTTGGGCACATAGTGCCTTACAGTCAGGAAACCAAAGTTTAAACTTTTAAAAGCTTTTTACACATATTAAAAACCTAATAAAACTAAATAAATATATTGTACTAAACTTTTTCACATAAAACTACTTTATTCACATGTTATTAAAGTTACATATTAAACCTTTGCATTGAAAGACAAATGTGTTCTAAGGCACAGGGAGGCATATTCCAAATCAAGGAGCCATAAAAACCTCTCCATGCTAAGGCGGTTTATGCAGCTATCAAGTTGCTTAACAGGAGTTTGGGGGTTTTTTTGTTTGTTTTGTTTTTTCTAAGCTTTGTTTGCTAGACAAAGACTTTTAGTAGGTTTTACATGTAGTCTAAAAGAACATTTATAACCTAATAATTCTCCTGAAAGTTATCTGTAAGGATTTTAAACAGGAAAAATGACAAACACTCCCATTCGTTCCCAGTCTGATGACATATTATGTTTAGTCTCCACACGTTAGGGATCACAATTGTCAAACTGGAACGAAACCTCAATGTTCCCACCAAGACACAAGGAGTAATTCAAAACTCTGGCCACTCTAAAGTACAAATTAGCATTAAAAGCCACTAGAGGGTTAAGAGAGAACAAAATGCTGTGTCCCTAGTGGCCAGCATCCATCATGTGTATCAATGTCTCCTTAAGATCAGTTAATTTCCATGGAGAGACTGGTCCACCAAGTCTCTAGAGACACATCTCAAGAGGGTTATCTGGGATATTTGCTCTGGAAATCGTTATTGAATATGTTAAAGCTGTAATGAAATGCTTCTTCTAATCATGTGGTGATTAAATAAATAATAATAATAATAAAAACCCCTAAGAGTTAGAAGGGACCTGTTTCCTCCAAGATCTGCTAAAAAATAAACCATAATAGAATTTTGCATAATATGAATATCAACCTGCATTATAACAGCTAGAGGCTGGAAAGATTGTTTCCAGACCGAAATCCTTAGGTACCAGGGCCAGATGATAACGAGCCCTCCTAAACTCACCTGGGACCTTGACGCCTCCCTCAGTGGTGAGGTCCTTCCTTCTCCAGAGTCAGACACTGAATCTAGACCGGACATTGAAGAGAGTGTTGTTTTTGAAATGGTAGCCTGGTCTTGAGAGAGAGATGAGGAAGGGGGTGTAGGAGACGGTACCCTTGCCATATCTTCTACTGTGGCTGCCTCTCTTTCACTGAATGAGCTTGAAACAAGTTGGCTGGCATCAGGCTTCTGGGCAGGGGCGCTGACCAAATTGTGTTGAGTTCCCTTGGCAGCATCAACATTTCCATTATACTTCCATCCAGCATCCATCTAAATAGGAAACACCATTTTTAAAGGCGATATTCTGCTAGCTTTAGTGTCTTTCTTAAAAATGGACTCAATATTTTAAAGCTACAAAAGTAACATACTTTCCACAGCAGAGTAACTATTGTGAAAAGCCTGGAATACATTTCTTTACACCTACAAATATGCACCTACGTGGGTAGAATTATTTTAATAAAAGCATTAATATGCAGACTTCTGAAACTTGTTTTGCTTGTTCACATCACTCCAGATCAACAGACAGAACTCGAAACTAGTTCTTTCAATTGTTCAAAATACCATCAATCATTTACTCATTTGATGTATACTTAAAATTACTTAAGCTTTCCCTCATTCCCCAAAAATATTGTAACCAATTCCAGTATCTCTTTATAACTGGAGCTTTTATATTATAGCCCAGATTCTCCATAAATTTACTGGATCAAAGCTTTTATTATATGCAGTATCTATGTATCATTTCTACAAGGAAAATTGTCACAATATAATCACAGGGTACATGAGAACCTGTTTCTCTGACGCCTCACAAACACGAGAACGAGCATTTTAAATCTTTGTCAATCTGTTGGGTGAAAAGTTGTTTACCTGATCTTTATGCTAATGAGGCTGTGTGCTTCTTTGCATTTTATGTCAATAAATTTCCTCTCCACTTCCAGTTCATTTTCTACATCAATTTCTAGTGTTTATCCTTCCCTTATCAAGTTATAGAAATATTTTATACCTTAGCGTTATCCTATCTAGAATACATTTTGATAATACTTTTCTTGACTTAAACTGTCCTATGTTAATGGTGCCTAGCATAGAAGTTTAAATTTTATGTTATCAAATAGGCCGAAAGTTCCTTAATACAGTGGTCAGGGGTTTCCTGGCTAATTCGTGCAGGCTTCCTTTGTCCCAAATACTCTAATTTTTGCACACATATATATTTTTACTGATTTCAAGAAAAGTTTGTACAATGCATTTTGATCATGTTCAGCTTCCTCTCCCCCACTTACTGCCCCAACTTCAAGTCTTCTACTGTTTGTCTTTTTAAAATTTAAAAGGCCTATTGAGTCTACGTTTCCCCAGTACTCTTAGATGTGGGCCTATCATCTCAAAAATCTTAATTTTCTAAAATCACATTTATTTCTTCTCTTCCAGATTTTGAATTTTAAGATCTAGATTAGCAGACTAGAAACATGATTGATTTTTAAGACTGCATTGCTCCTTTTACATTATTCAGGTTAACTGTCAGGTGCACAGTAGGAACCACTTTGGTATCAAGAAGGATGCTTCAGTCTCCTATATTATTCAAAAATCCTAACAGAAATATAAACGCACATATCTGAATAAAAGCATACTCAGAACATCAAGTTCTAAAGTGGGAAATCAGGATAAAGCAAAACCTCATATATATGACGTGAAGACAAATTTAGATTAAGCCATATGAAACTGCTCTTTTGTAGGTCAAAAAGAGCTGACTGCTGGCAATTTCATAACGTTCACCTGAATGCTTTACATAGCCGTATATGAAAAAAAATGAGAGGAAAAAATGCTCTGCCTTAGAATGCATCCTACTCATTCTTTAAAGTTTATTCAACCCTGTACCACAGCCGTTTTTAAGCAATAAATTTCTCTGGGATCTAAATTGGCATGAAAGCTGTTTGTATGTGCCATCTACATTTTACACATCCAGTACCTACAACTCTGGCCTGTGCACAAGTTCCCCAACCCAATGATCAGGAGAACAGATTAAATGAACCTGCAGCATTTTTTACCGTGTAGGATCTGGGGAGTGATGAGATTCCCCTTGACTGGGCGCCAAAAGGTCTCGCTGTAACCACAGATGTTAACCTGACTGTATCAGCTTTCTGGTAGCTTCTGGGGAGAGAAGCTGAAACCTGAGTCTGTTCCATTCGTGTATTTGCTGGAGGCTGAGAAGACAGAAGGTCCAGATGCTGTTCTTCTGCAGTGCTGTTAGAAGGATGCTGCATTTCAGCTGCTGTACTGTCCTGTCTATTCGTGAAAGTTGTGGCATCTTCTTTGGGATTCTCACTGAGATAAGCTGCTCCCTTCTCTTCCACTATCTCACTCTGGTAGCTGCCTTCTGACAGAGTCACTGTTGGAGGGACCACTTCATCATCCAAGACATCATCAGAATACAACCTCCTCCTAGGAACTGTAGACTCTTGATTTCGGGATTCCCTTCACAGAGAGAAAGGCACTGTCACCACAAAGTTACACATTTGGCCCAAGAAGCAGGAAGGCAAGAACTAATGTGTAAATGGTTACTGACTGGACATAATAATCAGCATGACAGTAATAGACTATGATGACATAATTATTTTAATGCCTCAACTGAGGGAGGTTATGATAACTTGACTTTTAAATATAAGGGCCCTTAGATATCTTAAATGGATATTTTTAATCATAACAGAAATTTTAATAACAAAAGAAACAAAATTTAACAAAGGATTCTTCAGACTTTTTATTCACAAATTTGTCTTCCAAAATAAAACACTATAAATAACTCAAAACCAATTTGAACCCACCAAAGTTGTGCTATATAAAATTTATAATGAGTCAGGCATGACAGCACAAGCCTTTAATCCTAGTACTTAGGAAGGAAGAGATCTCCATGAGTTCAGGTCAGCCTGGACTCTGTAGCAGGTTCCAAACAAGCCAATGCTACAAGTGAAACCCAGTCTCAAAAAAAAATTTAAATATATGAATAAAAATAAGAGTGCCGCGTGTGGTGGCGCGTGCCTTTAATCCCAGCACTCAGCACTTGGGAGGCAGAGGCAGGGGGATCTCTGTGAGTTCGAGGCCAGCCTGGTCTACACAGTGAGTTCCAGGGCAGCTGGGGCTACAGGGAGACCCTGTCTCAAAAAGACAAAAAATAAATAAATAAGAGCACAGAGCCTGGCTTGGTGGCTGACACCTTTAATCCTAGCACTTGGGAGCCAGGGGCAGGTGATCTCTGTGAAATCAGGGCCAGCATGGTCTATAAAGTGAGTTCCAGGCCAGATGGGCTACAGGGAAATCCTGTCTCAAAAAGATGATAAATAAATAAAAAGCACAAAAGACAGGCTTTTCTGGAGATCCAATCAGTTTATAGTCTCTTGGAGCATGACAGAATTCTACGGACAGTAATTACAGATTAAAAGTTACTGTTCATATTTATAGCATTGATGAAATCCCTCATCTTGCAGTCAGTAGGGAGTACTTAGCTCTCAGACTAACTGTTGTATTTAAGTGAATGAAACTCTTTATCATTGGCATTTTGAACACAAAGGATCTTTGTTTATTTCACCTGGCAGTATATTACTTCTTTGACATTAGTCTTAAAGCATATTTGCTTTCTCCCTGACCTATCAATATTCTCCAGGTCCACATAGCACCTGTTCACAGGAAATTTAAATTTCACTTTTATCCTACTATGTTACAACACAAAAAATAAACACATTTTATAAATTTCCCAACATATAATTTATGTTCTATGACTAAAACTCAAAGAATAATTATGCTATATTTTATACAATTCAAAGTAAAAGCTGACTGCGTTTGCTCATTCCATTCTTAGACTCACTTTAAAGGAGAGAAAGCAGTTTTATCTTTGTACCAAATACAAAGCCTCCTACTTCTGCATTGGAATGTACAATATGAAACAAAGAAATCCTGTTCACTGATGTTAAGCACTCTTGTTAACCCAGATGACTACTACTTCAGCAATATTATTTTAATGCTTTGGAGTCAGCAGCACCCTGTAGATACTTGATTGCAGTTGAAATTTGGTGAACACCACAAAGCCTTCATTACTGACACTGGGTCTCCAAACATGAGGGGTGTCCAGCCCTTACCTGTCCTGCAGCATTTCCTTGAATGTCTTGGAGCTTCTGTCAGACCTCTCAAGAGCCTGCTTTTCAATCTCTTCCCTCTCTTCCTTTTTCTTTTGCAGATCTGAAGTGTAACTTTTCCGACGATCTTTCCATTTTGCAAGGTCCTGACAAGAAATCACATCAGCCCGGTCATACCTGAATTTCTCCACACCCTCTCCTTGCAGCAAGAGCACCCTGGAGTATCCCATTACAGTGCTGAGACCATTTGCTCCCACCTGTGCCAAGCTGCCCTAATTTTGCTTTTTATAGCCAGTGTTTCTGTACTAAGCCTTTATCTCTTATATTTGTCTAAAACATGACCCATTTTTATTTTCCCAGAAAGTGTCACCTTAATGCCTATTTCTCAAAGAATGCTGAATGCTTGTAATTAGCTACAGGTTAGGTCAGTCAGGAACTATTTCAAATTCATTTTCATTTTACTCCAAAATCCTGACTCACACGCTCCTTAGGGTGATAGAAACACTCCTGTAACAACTTAGCTCAAGTGTGTCTTACTAAGGTATATAGTTCAATCCCCAGAAACATATAGATGCTTAAAATGTGGTTCCCTTCAACAGACTGAAAGGAAAAGGTAGATTGTAAATAAAGGTCAGTGACTAGTGCAATGGGATTGCTCAGGAGAATGAGGGTCCCAAAGGAAAAGGGGACTTCACCTACAGAAGGGGACATCTGTAGATGGTCCTCTGGCGAGATCACACTGAACTGCCCATGACTGCAGAGTGTGATTCCACATGGGTCAGGGCAACAGGGAGCATCATGCAGGCACAAGGCAACACCTGCTTCTCACATCCCCAGAAATGTGCTCTAACCCAACCAAGTGACCCCAGGACAATCTATCTAACTTGGGTTTTCAATTACCCCTAGTGACACAAACCAGTCTGGATACTCCAGGGTTAAGAGATTTTGAAAGCTACAAGGTTTTCTCTTTCCAAATCAGAGAAACACCATGCTAAGGATTCTAAGAGACATTCCAGTCCAAAGGGAAGTATATCCAAGGTCTCAGATCAAATCAAGCCTCACCCCCAGGACATGCAAAGCAAGTTTGCTTTATACCCTTCCAGAGAAGACAGGGCCATCCCTGCTTTTTAAACAACCTGAACCAGTGTGAACTATTTCCCCCAAAGAAAGTAGTACCCTGAATATTTACCTGACCCCATCTAATGGGTAGCCCACCCTCAATATTTTCATACCAAAAATTCACCTTATATTTTAACAAAGTGATACTGAATTACCCAATAGTTTGGGTTTGTTTTTTTTTCCAGTGCTGGGAATTAAAATTAGAGTCACAAATTTTAGAACAAGTGCTCTACCATTAAGCCACATCAAGAGTCCTATTTGCTCTTTCTTGATCATTAAATTGGATTTCAAATTAAAGATGCACTAGAATTTATCAGTGTAACCACATGCAAAGGTTCTGTGTCACTGCAAGAACTATAAAATCTTTGGAAATTGAGGTTTTCTCGATCTCGTCCATTTGTTCATACGATCACCCAGCTCTCTTACCATGAAACTATTCTCAAACTTCTTTGGGTTTACTACACATGATTTATCTAATATAGTTCTTTACAGTCCTATAATTTATGTTTCTTTAAGATTGATTTTGTTAACTTTAATTATGTGTATGTGTGCATGTCTGTGTGTGGGTATGTGCATGTAGGTGTCAGAGCTGGCAGAGGCCAGATCCCCTAGAACTGGAGTTGCGGGCAAGTTGTGAACCAAGCTCTGCAAAGGTTCTGTGCAAAGGAAGCAAGTATTCTTAACCATTGAATCATCTCTCCAGCCCTATTCCTGCAGTTTATAAGAATTAACTATATTCAAAAGAAAAAAAAAGTTATACTTTTTTTCTTTAAAGATTCAACTAAAGTTTAAGTCTATATCCATATAAACATCCAGATATGTCATCTCTGTTGAAATATTTAATTTTGAGTCACATTAGATAGACTTCAGCAAAAATATTCCTGTGATATAATTTCTCCCATTCTCATCAAACTAAGAATCTTTCCATGTCTCCCTAACTAATGTCAAGATCAGTGCTAGATCCTGCTCCTCTTCAAACCCAACCCTGAGCAAGAGTCTTTTCCTAATAAAAGCATAATTAGCAGTCACACCCCAACTCATACACTAACTCAAGTCAATGACTACTATACTGCTCGAAAGTAACTTCACTCTGAGAACTCACAACAGACTCTCTTCTACATTTTTAATAATGGCCTTTAAAATATATAATTGTAATGGGAAAAAAGTTTTGGAACTCTTCGATCACATTTTCTACAGAACTGAGTCCTATCATAGCAAGGAGGATTGTCCTTTAAGTACGCTGACTTCCTTTTAAGAAAAGCACATTCAGTCCTCCCTCCCAGTTCAAGAACACTCACATCCTGCCATTTCTGATCTTGTTCTTTCATTCGTGATTTTATTTTCTGCATCTCCTCATACCGCAGCTGACGCAGATTCTGAACATCCTCTGCACTGACGTCACTCATAGACTTGCTCCTGCAACAAAAATACCCAGGTCACCGAGGTCCCAGGGCCAGCCTGAGGGCTCCAATGGAGGTCGGGCTTCTGTTTAGAAATTCCACCTAAATTTCTATTGCACTACCTAGATGCTTCAGTGAAGGTATCACTAGAACAGCACAACTCAGATAGATGGTGTTTTTCCGAAACACAGAAACAGGAGCCTGACGCTCAATTCAGATGTGAGGTATTTTTCACAAAATGGCCAGAGTAATCCTGAACAATCCTAAACATAATAAGCCAATATTCATATGTGGAGATGTCAGCACATAAAAAGATCACTGCAGAAAAAAATAACCATTAGTCACTAGCATCACCTGTTCGTATTTTTCTGTCCCACTCAAAGATAACCTATTAAACTTTGGCTGCTTTTCTAGGCACATGCTAAATAATTTAGTGATTACCTGATATTTTCTCCTCAAGTTCAATACCATGAAAGATGTGCTGAGTCTTCTCAAAGATTCTCTAAGATCTACTGTACCACTGGCTGGACCTGTTCTCTGAGGACCACAGTTTCCCACAGCCTATCAGAACCACCTCAGTTACCCTCTCCTTCATTAACACAGTGTTCATGACTCGGCTTGGAACAACAACAACAACAACAACAAAAAAAATGTGTGGGATGGGATATACTCATGCCCATATGCATTAAGAGAACTGGTATCCTGTAGCCTGCACAGAGGAGGAAGAGAGATGATGGAAAGTCTCCTGGAAAGGCAGGAGTCAGATCAACATTGAAAGCAGGGCAGATTGAGAAAGCCAGAGTGTTTATTTTGATTAATTAATTAGTTAATTAATTAATATTTGAGACAGTCTCCTGTAGTTCCCGCTGGCCTGGAACTCGCTATGAAGACCAGGCTGACCTTGATCTCACAGAGATCCGCCTACCTTAGAGTACTGGGACTAAAGGTGTGAGGCACCCGTGACGCCTGGCCAGAGAGCTTTGAAAGGCTGGCTACCCCAAATACTCTTCCCTATTGTACTTCTGAGTTACTTCATTGCAACTGACTATACTTTTAGTTGTGTAAATAATTCTACCTTACCTCCTTGGGCACTTAAACTTCAGGTTCTCCTATCACACATTGATCCTTAACTGGCTCAGGAATGCAACTGCAACTGCCATGTAAATGACTCTGAAGGAGACAGCCTAGGACCTGCCCTTCCTTTGACTCTTTTCCAACTGCTATGAATAGGCATTTACGCATAGATATCCCCTTAGGCACCTCAACTGCAAGGAGGCCCACTGAAATACTATCTAGAAAAGATTTTGTATAGTGTGCCTCACTAAAGACAGTTATTGTTGATGTAGCCAGTCACAATCCTGCTTTTCCTCTTGTAGTTAGTGGTGATACCTACCTTCAGTCATCCACATGCGAAACCTAAGAGCCACTTTTCACTTTTGTTCCTCCCTTCTCCCCACTTTCAGTTAGCTATCTTCTTGTTCAGTGCCTCTCTCATTCCATTTCAATTGCCAATAGTCTAGATCAGGGCACAGGCAACCCTCACCTGGGTTTCCAAAAGAGCTGCTTAAATTCTCAAAGAAAGCCTTTCCTCAAATGCTCCCTCCAACTCAAAAGTCTTTCCTTCCCCAATGCCTATCTTTTTAAAAATATCACATCATGGGCTAGGCTCACTCCATAGCCTCCTACTCAACACTTATCTTCCTCATCTCAAAGTCAACTCTCTCCTTCCACACTTGGGGCCAAAAATTTGGGAGTCATCCAGGTGCCTCTCTTATACTCACAACACTGATCCCACCCATAAATCCTGTTACATGGCTCCCTATTTCTAGGATATAAACATTTCTCACCTCCTCTGCTCTCAGCACAGTGATACAAGCCATCACATCTCCCACCTGGAGAATCCCAATGATCTGCCTGCTCCTACCCTCTAGCTCAACATGCTCAGCAGAGTAGCCAGAGAGACCTTTCTAAGTTACAGCCAGGTCTTGGCACACTCAGTCCCACCCTCCAGCTTCTTTCCATCTCAAGTTCAAAGGAGGCTCTTCCAAGACCTGCATGGCCTGACATTATGTGGTTCTTGCCTGCCTTTCCACACTCATTTCCAACATGCTGCCCTGGTCTCACTCTTCTGCCAAATGGCCATCTTACTCAGGCTCACCTCTTGCTTCTCCCCTCACTCTTCAGTCTTCCTGGAATACTCTTCACACAGTGACTTCTCTTTCGCTTCCAACGTATCTGCTTAAATGTTTCAATGCTTCCTTCCCTAACCGTCTTAGAAGACACAGCAAATGCCTCTACAGGCTTACTCCACCTTTCCCCTCCTTCTTCACCCATTTATTGGCACAGAAGTCATGTTTATTTACATGTCACCTACTGTGTTCTTTAAGATTAACAAGAATTACATCTGATTTGTTTGCTGGTGTATCACTAGGCTTAAAACAAAGGCCAGCCCATAGCAAGTGCTCCACAAATGTGTTCGCTTAATCATCTAATAGTATTTTACCACATGGATAAAGGGATAAAGTCTTTCTGGGCTCTTCCATGTGAAAAGTGACCTGGTCCTTTCCTCAACTTTTCTAGGGCTTCAGCTACATTTTTTATGGTATTAATACTTAGTTCTGTCCTATACTGTGTGCACAGACATGCCCAGCTCATTTCTCTCATAAGCCATATGCTACTTGGAAGGAAAAAGTATTAGCACAGTATAATGCATGTAGATATACTCAGTACCTGTGCTAAGAACGAGGTAAGTCACTGCATAGTCAATCACATAAAATATACTAAACACAAAAAATTCAAATTCACTCTATGGGACAGCATTACTGCTCTCCAAAGTTTTATAACATTATATAGATTTAGTGAAGAATTGATTACACAGAGGATATGACCATACAAGTGAACATATATGAATCTACAAATGTATATCTCATGATCTAGAACTGCATATCAAACTGAATTGTGTAAATATGAGAATATAAACTCACTTATGTCATACCTACAAAGAATGAGGCTTTTGAGCTAACAAACAATATTCAATAAAAACTGGGAAGAAAATATCCAGATCCAAGGCATGAAGGGAGGCCAGTCACTCAGCATGTGAAGCTGCCAAAACTCCAGAACAAAACGGAAATGCTAATCCATACTTCAGTGTTTTCATCGGAAGCAAGCTGAGCCATCTGTACTGGGCCAGAATCCCCATGGCTGCTCTCTTACTTTCCTCCTTCTGTGCTAGGTGGCAGTACCATGCTCTCTCCTATACAGTGTGCCAGTCAAAGGTGAGGCTGCATGTCTTCCCTGAGTTCACCAGCACTGAGTGGAGCCTGGCCCCCATGAGGCACACAGCATGAACAAAGTGAGCCAAACACTGGCTAAAGCAGACAAGTCCTTGTAAAGGCAGAGATGTGAGCACAATCTGTTCCCTAGGGTATATAACGTCACTCCATTAACATGGGAGTACACTCCATAGCAGGCCTGGGCACCAGCAAGAAACAAGGGGGAGGGCTCCAGGCACAGCTGAAGCCTTCACCTACTGAACACACCGAACTTCCCTTCTCAGAGCCTCAGTTCCCCAACTTAAACTATGGTAACTGGGTAAGGTTGTGCTGATTCTACTTTTTGAAAATACAGTGCTATATACCAATTCTTATTGAAGCCAATATGACTGGATGGGTCCCCCTGGAAATTCTCTAAGCTGTTTCATTAGAGAGGTGGCCATAGGCCACACAGATGAAATCTAGAACTTTTAAAGTCTCTTGGGCAGATGATGAAGAATTCTTTCTTTATCAGCGCTAACAGCATGATATTAAAGCCCCAAGGCTTCCCTGAGTAGTGGCAGCACTGCCAAGCAGTCTCGGTGAATTACTTCATGAGGCAAAGCCCCTGTAGGTTCTACCACTCAAGAGTCTGCATCCTTGGGAAAGCTGCAATCTCCATTTCTCTTTCTCCATGTCTGTGAACACCTGCCTGTCTACCTCCCAGAACTGATAAGCATGGAAGAAAGAATCAGAAAAACTAGGAAGGGCAGGTCCAGCACCCACTGTTCACTGGTAAGTCAAAGCAATTTCTTACAATCATCCACCTGCTATGCTTGGTTGTATTTCCTTACTCTGAAGGCTCCAAATTACAACCAGATTTGGATATTTAAAAAAAATACAAATATGCTGGGCGTGGTTGTATAGGCCTTTAAGCTCAGCAGGCAGATTTCTGTGAGTTCATGGCCAGTCTGGTCTATACAGGGAGTTCTAGGCCAGCGGGGGCTACAAGGAGAGAATCTGTCTTTATCGTCCTCTTTTTTTTTTTTTTTTTTTTTTTTTTTTTAAAAAAAAAAAAAAAAAAAAAAAAAAAAAAAAACCCACCAAACAAACAAGTATAACAAACATCTGGCCTTTTCAGTTGAATTTAATAGTATTTAGGGGAAGGACAGGAAGTTTAAGGGAAAAGGTATTAATCATAAAATCACAAAGTACAATTTTCTTGTTGTGCTCATTCTATGTGATGCTCCTGACACTTTTAGCTGGATTTGAGGAGTGCTATCGTAAAACCCAACTTCAGTCAACTTACACATGAGTGTCTGAGGAATAAAGGATTCGAAAGAACCAACATCAGGCAACTTTTATGAAGTATAAACTCCATTAACAGCCTTACACATCAAATAGAAATTCTCCAATAATGTTAAGGGTCCTCAGCCTCAAAAGCAAACATGAATATGCTTATTTATATTTCTAAACATATTTCCATCAGATATTATAGGATTCTTTAATTTAAAAAATTGATGTTAAGGCTTGTGTGAGACTCTGAAATTACCACTAATTAGAATAAAAGGACAGAACAAGGAATTTCATTTATAGATTTAGCAACTAAATCAGGCTTCTCAGCAGCGACGCTATTAACATTTCAGCCAGAATATCATTTGTTGCAGGGGCTGCCCTGTGAATTGTAAGGCGTGCACAAGCACTGAATGTAAACAGCACACACACCTGGCTATGATAGTGAGAAGTAGCTCAGATAGTACCGGGTGTCCTCCAGGGAAAAAACAAAATGCTCAGAAAATAACCCAGGTGAACTTAATATTCCCTTTCTTCATTCCCCCTTAGAATTCTACAAAATCCTTCGTCCAAACTCTATAAGAAAAAAGCCTTAATTTCTTTGAATGCAACCTCATACTGATTTCCTTGTGATATTGATAACAGATTCAGTGGTTTAATCACATTACAATATTGTTTCTGGATAGTCAATAACAAATTTATGTCAGAAGGCCACATGACCAGATTGCCAAACGTCATAGAACCATACAAATGTAAATTCATTCAACACAAAGACAAACATAATAAGAACTGATAGCCACATACAAAGCAACTTATTAATAAACAGGTACTACATGCCAAATAGAGGCTATTGAATTGGTAAAGCTTAGTAGTAGAGTATGTGCTTATTAGCATGCACAAGCACCAGAAACTAAAAGAGCAACAACATATAAAGCAAGCCAGAATAGCCAAAAACTCAAAACATATTACATATTCCTCTTTAAAATGGTGTTTACCATGAAGAAAGAACTCATATAATGGGCAGTTGTTTTTTAATTACACAGTATCAAGCAATGATGCTTTTCTAGTATATTATGTTCCAAGAAAGCTCACCAAGCATAAACATGAACTGGGCTATACATTAAACTCCTATATGTAACCCAATTTTTGATTTATGTTCTATTTTAGCTATAGGAGATCAATATAAAGAAAGCATTAGTAACTTGTAAAGCATAGGGGAAAAAACCCTATATGACAAGTTGGTACACAACTGCTCTAGACAGAGCTGAGTTTCTAAAGACACGTTGGGTTCCATTATTTGAAAATTCATGCATTATTCATTAAGTCTCAAGTGACTGATTATCGTGCTTTATTTGTGTACCTTGGCACTATACTTCATGGGAATGTTTTTAAATAGCCTTTAAAACAAATATCGTGTTATCCAAACAACAACAACCTTGGAATTATCTACTGGAAATATATGCTGTTGACTGCTATGGTTCAGAAAGATCCTCGGCTTTCTGAAGTTAAGTATTTAGGTTTTCTTATTGGTAACTGTGGTTGGAGGGAAGAGGGGGGGTAGCAGAGTGCTGGGAACCCAAAGCTACATGCAAACTAGGCATGAATCCTACCATTGAGCTCCACTCCTGCCTACGGTAACTGGGTCACATAATACCCCTAAACAAGGAAGAACAGGTAGAGTCAAGTCAGAGAGGTAGTTAAATGCATTATATGCTCCCAAGGAATTGAGACTCTGAGTACTTATAATCCCTTTAAGAAAAGTAGCCGGATCAGATATCTGTTTATGCTACAAAGTTAAATGTTATAACTTTCTACCCTAATCAAGAACCTTGAAAATATTTCCAGCACTACCAATGGAAGACTGAAGCCATCACCATCCCCACTGATGAAGCGCCTCATGAGCTAAGTACATGAAATCTGTCAACTGCAAGCAAATAAATGCTAATGTCCTTCCCACCCTAGACTTTCTAAAATGTATCTTTGTTGTTTATTGGGGGGAGGTTTAACAACCAGAAACCAGAAGCTCAGTGTATTTAGGAATCAAATATCAAAGTAAACATAGTCTTTGGCAAATGTTCTTGTTACTCTTAATCATTAAATTTTCAAAAAGAAAAAGGGGATGAAGGTAAATTTTAAATGTTTAATTCAACAAAAACTATTGCTTTATACAACACTTCATGTGCTAGACATTCAAATACAAAAATATTACCATGAGACTGCAATGTTAATAAAAAGTTAAGAAAATCTCATGCACCGTGCACAACACCCCCATTTAGCCACATGCCAGGAGAGAGGTACAAGAAGTTACACAAAAGACAAACAAATATGCAGGTTTATTTTTAATATGAACCATAAAACTTACCCATTCTCACCATAAATCTTTTGAAAGAGTCTAAGAAACCAGAAAACCAAAAATTAAAAAAGGTCACTCTCCATAATTTTATTAGTTACTAAACATTCATTGTCAACAACTTGAGCTTCACTGGAGATGGGCAGATCTGAGCAGGTTGTGTCTTCAGCAACTTCATCGAGTTTTACATTTTCATCAAACTCCTATCTCACGGAACTCAGATCAAACAATATAAACATTTTCTCAATTTATTCTGAGCCAACAAAGTTTAAAAGAAAGGCCCCTACTATCATGAGCTAAGTTAGATTTGGGGCTACTCATTTTAATAACCCTCATCAGATTTGCCCATCCCCAAGTTTAACCAAAGGAACAATTGTCAAAAAGTCAAGCTATATGTGTTACTGAAATGGACACAACTACAACCATATAGAATCCAACAGACAAGACAGTAAATAACATTCATGCATCTTAAGGAAGTTTGCACTAAACTTCATGAAAAAAAAAAAAAAGCTACAGATTGATAGTCCAAGATACCTAGGTCAATAACAAAAATCAAGTTAAATGAAATTTGCAATACCATACTTTTAGGTGAATGTTTAGCTCAAGTGCAAAATATGAGAAACACAAAACCAAATTAGCACTTCTCTACTACAGAAATGCCTCGACATGAAAGTGAAAATCTGTAGATACAATTAGAAAATAATATTTTTATCGAACTTCATATTGCAGTATGGTGCTAGAAACTTACAGATTAAAGGCAAGCTTTGCATATATACCTTCTTAAATTGTCTGAAGATGTGCAAACATGGCACTGCACTTCATAAGATGACTAAAAGTTTCTCCCAAAGCTAAATAATTTTTCACAGGATGCTTCAAAATGGCACACAACATGCAGAGCTAAGTGAACTGACGGGTTTTTTTCTTTTTTTCTCTTTTTGCACAAGAAAAGTTACACACGATCATCCATTACAAGCCAAATCCTTGCAGAAACACACTCTGACCTCTCAACCATCAGCCGTTTCCTGTGCCTAAGCCTGCTGGCCTCCCGGATGGCCTCCCACTTCTGCAGGTCGGCTTCACTGCAGGGGCCAGGCTTGAAACTGATGGGAGGTGTAGCAGTTCCCAGCTTCCAAGACTGGATCTTGCGAGTCAACATGTCATCTTTATTCTGCCGGCAGGAAGGAACTAATATTCTACAGCTGTTACTATTTTCTTTGGGTGGGCATGTCCTTTCAAGTACACAAAGAAATTTCGCTTGAATTTCAGGAGGCAAAGTCCAGGGTTCGGGGAAAGGGACCGGCTGGTACCTATCTGGGGCCCCAGACAGAGGCACTTCTTTCTTCTGTACTGGAATTCGGCGAACAATCATATCATCTTTCTCTAAATCTGGAAGTACGTCTTCACCTTCCCGACACTGCAAAATTATATCTCGTTCAACAGGATCATCTTGCTCAGAGAACCTTCTAAAGTCTTCAAAAGCTCGAAGAACACATGGATTCGCATGGAAAGCCCCAGTTTTTCTAACAAAGAAATCATCATTTTCTAAGTCAGGATCCAGGGCTGGCATCTCAAGGACATCTCCTTGATAGCCGGGCACATGAGGGAGGTTCTTTCTGCGAGTTATGAGCCTTGGGCCAGAGGTGGGATCGATTCTGACATTTGTTTCAGAAGACAAGATGTCGTCAGAGTATGTTTGGAGGGCCTGAAGCAACAAAAACTGACTGAAGCACAGAAGAGAAAAAGGAAGGGAGAATCTTATTAAGTATAGGAGAAGTTAATTAGGTAGCAGACCAACTAGCACTGGCACTTATCATGCAGGAACACGGGAGGGAATCTTGTAAACAAGACCAAAGTTTAACACCATTCTCTGTGACTTTCCTGGGTATCACCTACAGAAACAACAGTAGGGTGTGCTTCCAGGAAAAGTAGTACTATGAAGGCCGGGTGATGAGTCTACGTAACTCAGACTGAGCACACCTCCCTGGCAACAGCATGGGCACCACTTCTTGTACCAACTTCCTTATCCCATCAGTCATAGTGGCCTCATCCCCTAGAATGTGCCCAGAGGTAGCTGGCCATCACGAACTTTAGGCAATAGTACACGCCATGATGAACAGAAAAAAAAAATGGTCAAAAGTCTTATAAAAGACCTTGAGGAATTTTTTTGCTTTGCATTCTTCAGACTTGCCCTTCCCAGCCTTTATCTAAAAGGAGTTCAATTCTCCACTTCTTTGTAAGTTGAAGCAATATTTTTTAAAAAGCATTTATAATGGCTTTTCAAAAGGATTTTCACATATAGACTGTCATGCATATATTATTAATATATATTATTAATAGCATGTTGAATACTATAGAGCTTGAACAGTCACACAGAAAGCAGTTTGTTACATGCTGTGCTTTTATTCTGGTCATTTAAGTTTCTATGACTCATAGTCAAGGCTAGGTTAACTGTAACAGTAGAAGCAGTCAGACAGGGTGTGTAAGGCTAGACCCAAACAGGTAGCTCGTGCAGATGGGTGCACCTGGACTCTTCCAAAGCACCACTGGTCCTCCCAGCTGCATGGGTGTCCGGTGACCTGAAGGCCTGTTTGGTAGCTAGTTTCAGCAAGAGTGAAGGTCTTTGGCAGTTGCTGTTTAACCTACGCTCTGCCTTTTCTATTCTACTAAAAATGCTGGAGCTTTTGAGAGAGTCCGAGTCCTCATCCTCAGAGTCAGAATTCCTTCTGCTGTGAAGTGACATGGGAAAAAGGAGGAAGAAAAGAAGCACACAGAGAAGAACATAGCTGAAATCAGTGCCAGGCTATACCCAGGTATAAAAGAGGGACTTGTCAGGATCCAGAATCTCATTTGCTTTATTCAGTTTTTTTTTTTATTACAAATAGAGATAGTTTATCAGGAAAGGAAGAAGGCCCTCCCAGGGGTGGAAGTGAGCTAGTGAGCTAGAAAACTTAGCTCAAAAGCCTCGTTTTGGTTTTTTTAACACAGTCTTACTTTGCAGCCTGGGCTACTTTCAACCTTTCAACCTTCCTGCCTCAGCCTCTAGAGTACTGGGATTCTAGGTGTGTGCCTCTGGCATAAGTGTAAACATTCCTTCTTCCAGTGTTAGGGGCAATCAGTCTTTCTCTATCCCTCATTAAAAAACACACCAGACAGGAGTAAAAAGTGAACACTGGAGAGCAGAAACATGCATGAAGACAAACCTGAATCCCTGAAATTCCTTATACCATGGCTTATAAGATTCCCTTTTTATTCTTTTCCAGTTCATATCTTCTGGGGTCCAACATTTGGGAAGAAACTGATCGACAGAACTCCCTGGGCTTGGAAGAATGGGACTTAGCTTTCGTACATAAAGATCATCCTTTATAATGTTGGGTATACTTGTTATTTTTTCTTCTTCCTCTTCCAAATAACAAAAGGAAGTTGAAGTTTCTCGGACTGCTGGCCAGTTCTCTGTCTTGGAGCCCCAAGTCCTCCTCTGGTTACTGTTCAAAATATCCAACCAGGTTGGTTAAGTTACCGAGTGAGCCATTTGTGCACAGAACCCCTAAAGGCATGCATTTCACCTCACAAGGTCCACACTACTGTGAATGAAGTCAATTAACTCCCGTTCTCAACACCACAGCTCCTAAAGACAAAGTTAAGACATGACAGCAGTACCTCACTTTAGAGAATAATTAGATACACAAGGTCAAGGACGTTTAAAAAGAATCTGTGTTAAAAGAAAAACAAATTCCAAACAGACTGGGTGTTACTTTTGAAGTCAATGTGCAGTATGATAGATACCCAGACCCAGGACAAATATATTTCTGACCTCCTCAGTGTGTGAAGCCCAGTGGCTAATGTATCTGGAGAAAATATTTGCAGACTAGAGTTGAGAGAGGTGGGCTGTGAGCTGAAACCCTCAGGCCTCTTTATCACATGGAATCTATGGTTGGCTAAGTCATCCAAAATCACATCAGGCAACCTTCGTTCATCATCAGTGTCTGAACCACTTTCAGAACCACACACCTCCATATGGAAAGTTGGATTGGAAGAATCATTCTTTGCTCTGCTAATTTGATAGGAAATTAAAGGAAAAACAATGGAAGGAAACACGCAGGGCTCACAATGAACCCTATCTGTGATCCAGGCAGCTGAAATATGAACTGAAGGCATGCATCTAAAAGAAGACTAAGCACTCTAAAACAGAACAACTATTTTCATCCTACATAAGACCGAAAATAGAGGTAGGAAAACAACTTCCCATTAATGATATGCATTACCTACAAAACACAGTAAGAGCCATTCCCATAACCACATTAAACATTCCACCAAATTCATTCAGAAAGCCCACAGAATTCCATCACCACATCACATGCTATACCTTGAAAACATTCCATCTGCTTCTGTGTAGACCGGGCTGGCCCAACTTCTTCTGTTATCCTCATTTCTGTCTGTCTTTTTCTTCCTCAGAGGTGCTGGCACATAGGATGGCTGTCTACTTTTGTTAGGTAAGAAGCGATTGAATGGTAGAGCAGACTTTGGTTCAATAGATGAAATCCTTCGGTAGGACATATCATCTTTGTTATAATCCTGCATTTTGAATGTAAATTCCCAATCTGTGTCACTTTCACAACCTAAAAAGAAGGCACAGGAACTTGCTTTACTCTGCAGATTATTCCTGCTGAAAGCCCCCAGCTATTCTCTTCTCCCTTGGAAACTCAGTGCTGTTAGGAACAGCAGGGATATTTTTAGCAATTTGTCATGAAGTTGTGATAAGATCCATTAGGAGGAACTCACTTTGCATACTGGAGGCACATACCTACATTCTTTTGCTGTCACACATTCTAAGCAGAAAAATCCCCAATCTCCTGCTCAAGCCCTTCCCTTCCTTCTTTGCCTTCAGGATACTTCCTAGAATTTACTGATGTATAATAAGTGTGAATAAAATCTAGCAATGGAATCAGGCACTTAAAATGAGATACCAAAGGAATTCTACAGAGCCTCAGTAATTTAAAACAAGGCAGGCAGCTATCAAATTTACAGGCAGGGAGAGTAAGCACTGAAAGGGAAGATTGCACAAGATTGCAAAGGAGAAGGCTAGACCTGTCTAAGGTCATTCGCACAGACAAGAATCCCACATCACAGAGGACAGAGCAGATGGCATCTGATGTCCCAAAGAATCAAGTCTTAGGCCAACATGAGAACATGTAATACAGGTTTCCTCCCCTGAGAAAAAGCATTAGAATGGGAACCTGGTCCTGTGATTCAAGGTTCACTCAAAAGAAAACTTAACAAAAAAACTTTGATAGATCCAAAGTCAGACAGAAATAGTAATATATTCTCTAATTGCGGTGCGGGGGGAGCCTGCTCTTTTAAAAATACAGTAAGGGGGCTGGAGAGATGGCTCAGTGGTAAGAGCACTGGCTGCTCTTTCAGAGGACCTCAGTTCGATTCCCAGCACCCACATGGTTGCTAACAACCACCTTTAACTCCAGTTCCAGGGAATCCGACACCCTCTTCTGACCTCCGCGGGCATTGCATGACACAGGTGCTCTTACATACATGCAAGCAAAATACTCATACACATAAAATAAATATTTAACAAAATAAAAAAATACAGTGAGAATGAAGAGAATAACCATACAGATCTGTTCAAAGGGAGTAACTCTTCCCCGCCCTTCTTTTTCCTGCCTCAAGTCCATTTGAAGGGAGTGTCGCCTGTTTCTGACTTGGATCTTCCAGAGCCCAGGTGCACACAGCACCTCACAGCTACCTGCTCTTACATTCAACACCTTCAGGTTAACCTGACCTAAGCACAGTTTTCTCTTCCCTCCTGCCAGACAGGAATGTACAGTAAACAACACAGAACGGTTCAAAAGAAGTGGTTTGACACAGCTGTGTCACATGAACATGGTAAAAGGAGAGTCAGGACACAAAGCGGGAAAGGACAGGTAGCCAAGACCAGGGGGACCAGAAGTCAATAAGATTTAACCACTCACCCTATAAAAATTTAAGTGCCAATGTTTGCTTACCAAAACCTTGTGAAATTTGAAAATCACAGACTATTTGGCTCTTGAAGTTTTAAAGGTACAATCTTTTTTTAAAGTGCTTTTTTAATTAAAAAAATACTACAAAAACCACATTTGAATTGTAGTTTGTAAAATTGTTAAGTCCCAGAAGAGACAACATCATTTCTAAAACACTTCCACAAAGAAAGTAGTCTTCCTTATCCCAATTCCAATCTTTTTCCATGATACATTCTCCAAATTTTATATTGTCTTGATGAGAGGAGATGTGTGCCCGAAGAGGAGGTAAAAGCAAAGTTAACTATATCTCACCCATTTTTTTTCTTACCAAGAAAACCAGTTATTAAAGTTACAATATTTTTAAAGCTAATATAGTTTGTACTTGCATAGATATGACTCCTGATAAAAGTTTTCACACAGAACTCAAGAAATTTATATTTTCCTTATCCTAAAACTATCATCCTAATGGTCATGACCACCCATTTTAATGTTGTAGGGAGCAAAATTTTAATGTAGTAATCATAGAAAAGTTATATTCTCCTGGAATCCCCCCCCAACACCCTACTTAAAATTTCAAAGGCCTCCACACTCCTTAATCAAGGTCCCTTTGTAACTTCTTTCCATAGACCCAGAAGTGATTTCTCTACGGATTCTGTTTTTGATCACACAAATCAGGCAGGAACCCAAGTGTCAGAAGAAGAGACAGATGGTGGACCACTACCTCACTATATTTTGGTGATAAATTTGCATATGCCACAAATCCCACAGCCTTTCCCTCTTTTATTCTCTGATAGCCAGATATAAATTAAAACACTGTATGTCATGGGCTCTTCAGTCAGGACAAACGTAGCGCATCGAGATTTTCAGTTATAAACTTAGATCTATTTCCCTACAGGTATGATCATTGTCATCTGAGCTCTGAAAATGTCACACCTAGATAGCAAACAGCCAACAAATACAGTAGCAATTACAAAGGTTAATACTTAAGCGTTCACATTTTACCACTACTACTACTTTAAAAGTTAAAGTATTTAGCTTGTCTTATGCTTCATTAACTTTTGGAAAACAAATTATACATTGTTTGCTGATGTTGGAGAGTTTTTACAATAAAAATCTTGGGAAAAAATATGTATTAATGTCCATAATAAACAAAATGAAATCCCCAACAATGGAACACAAGTTCACGACCAGAGCTCTCGTTTTTTTTGTTGTTGTTTGTTTTGTTTTTTTGGCTTTTTTTTTTTTTCCTGGTAATGATGATAGAAGCACAGAAATACTTTAAGAAAAAAAAATTGAGGGGCAGTACTGGGGTTCAAACAGGGTCTCATGAATATTAACCATGTGCTCTACCACTAACCTATATCCCCAGTATTTTAAGAAATTTTATTTCTGGTTTCTACTTAGACTAAATTCAGACTACCCTACATGAATATTTAGTCAGAACCTTAACACTACTGAGTAGCCACAGAATTAAGACATTGCTTTTGGGGGGGGGGGTCTTTTTTGAGACAGGGTCTCCCTGTAGCCCCAGTTGTCCTAGAACTCACTATGTAGACTAGGCTGGCCTTGAACTCACAGAGATCCTCCTGCCTCTGCCTCCCAAGTGCTGGGATTAAAGGTGTGCACCACCACACCTGGCTTTATGTACTAAAAATGTAATTATTTATTTTGTGCGTATATGTATAGATTGAGGCTTGCCATGGTGTGCCTGTGGAGGTCAGAGGACAGCTGGCAAGATTCTCTTCTTCTAGCATTCTGGATCCTGGGGATGGAACTTAGGCTTGATGGCAAATACCTTTAGCCTCTGTGCCAGCTCCTAAAACCCAAAGATGTGCATTTCAATGACTGATTTGACCCCAGGCTTTTGACTTTAAATGAAGGTTCTTTCCCACAACAGGACTTGCATTAACTTGTCCTCCCATACCTAATCTGTCCTAGCTTAGAGCAGACCACTACCAGAAGATGCTGCCTGTCTCCATGTTACCCAACCATCAAAGTTTAGCGATAAAGTATTAAAATGTTTTCCTCTTCAGTATTTCTTAAATCTTTTTGGTAAAAGTAAGCCAAGAAAGAAAATTACTCAGAAACTAGAGCAGACTTCTTACAGAATCTTACATATTTTATGTTTAGGCATATGAGCTAATAGGTCTTAGAGATACCTGTCAAGAAGCCTCTATCACAAAAGAGAATCTCATTGACAAAACAGATCACAGTGAACTTGTCAGACATGGCAGCACACACCTTTAATCCCAGCACTTGGGAGGCAGAGGCAGGTGGATCTCTGTGAGTTCAAGGTCAGCGTGGTCTACATAATAAGTTCCAGGACAGCTGGGGCTACAAAAGACCCCCCCCCCAAAAAAGGAAAACTGTCATCATGGGGAAGGAAGCAATGAAACACCCAACTCACACAGCTATTAACATCCACATCTTAGTGAGATTTTTGTCTCAACAGCTGTTACTCCATTTCTCTACTTTCTCTTGCCCCCCATTTTCTCTTCTCATGCAAACAAATAAAAATAAACTAACAGACAAAAATGCAACTCACCTTCCCGTCCACCTCTAAGTGTAAGATCAGAGGAGCAGCTAGTCAGGGACCTAGACCCCAATGAATCCAAGCTTTCAAAGGAATCTTCCCTCCTATGGCTGCCTGGAGGGGCAGGGCACTCTCCTCTCTCGGGACACCAGATGTCCCCGTACCCACTGTCCCGGCCACTTCTTTTCAGGCTGCTGGAATCTTCAAGAGCCTGAAGGAAACATTGTACAATGATCAGAAAGTGAACATAAGGTCTAGTCAGCTTATCTAGAGTCTCTTGCTTTAGGAAGTTCAGATCTTCCTCACCTAGCAATGAAAAAAAATGCAAGTTGGTGGTGTGGCCAACTGGTCTAAGGATTTTTGTTTTTAACTTTAAAAAAATTTTTTATTATTTTTATTTTATGTGTATGTGTGTATTGCCTGCATGTAGGTAAGTGCACCCATGTCGTGTAATGCCTGCATTGGTCAGAAGAGGATGTCGGATCCCCTGGGACTGGAGTTATGGACAATTGTTAGCTGTCCTGTGGGTTGCTGGGATTTGAAAACCCTGGTCTTCTGCAAGAACAACCAGTGTTCTTGACCACTGAGCCATCTCTCCAGCCCCAAAGATTTTTCTTTTAGACTCTAATAAAATTGTCATAAAGCTTCCATTTAAGTCCATTCTTGGTCTCATTAATAACATAATTTAAGAACCCCAAGAGGGAATCCTAATTTGTGCTATATCACTACTTACTCTCAAAACAAAAAGAAAGAATTTTATGGGGACAGTGGTATAAAAATGATATATTTGAGTATTTGAGATATTCTGTATGAACACAAAAATTCAACAAAAACAAATTTTTAAATAAACGTTTTAAAGTTAGAACAGTGAATATATACGTCTTGGAATTCATTTGTTTCCCTTAATTATGAAATCTGTGTAGTGTTGGCAACTAGATGGCTGTTTTTATTGAATCAAGGGTAGCATGCATGCATGCTTGCTGACATGTAAGACTTCTCTTCCATAGAACTAAATAAAACATTTTTTGGTTTATATAGAAGTACACAGAAATAGGACAAATGATATTACCTATAGGTTTATAACACATATAGAACTGACCCAAAATAAGCTTTTTAAATTGACACTTCTCTGAAATAATGGCAAAACTTAACTGGACTTTTTAAACATTATTTTTTAATTATTCTTTGTGTGTGTGTGTGTGTGTGTGTGTGTGTGTGTGTGTGTGTGTGTTTGTATTTGTGTGTATGAATGTGCAGGTGCCTGAGGAGGCCAGAAGAGGGTATCAGATCCCTTAGAGCTGGAGTTACAAGAGGTTGTGAACCCCCTGATGTGGGTGCTGAGAACTGAACTCTGGTCCTCTGTAAGAGCGGCAAGTGCTCTTAACCACTGAGCTGTCTCTTTAACTCCGTAACTGGATTTTTTTTTTCAAATTAGGACTTAATTTAAATGAAAATCACAAGGTTACTTTTAGGTGAGATTACCAATAGTCAGTTTAAAGAACATAGGAATTACTCATAAGATATAACGTGAACTTCAATTAAATCATGATTACTATTTTTTATAGATTTAAAAAAATTTGAGAGAGACCATTTGGAAAATTCATTCAATAATGCAGAATATTTAGTAGATTTCTTAAATGTATGTTGTAGCTATAATGAAAAATATTCTTACTATTAAGAGATGCACTCTGAGTACACAGGAATAACGTGGTATCTGAAATTTACCTTAAATAGTTCAATAAAAATACAGATGGATGGACGGACATTATTAGATGCAGCCAAAATTGAAAAACTAAGGTAAGGTCACATGAATATTTACTGTGTGATTTTCTTAGCTTTTTATTATGAATACTTTCAACATATGAAGACGGCTGGCAGGTGCTCACAACAAATATCAGCTGCTGCTTCGGGTCAACTTTTGACTAAATCAGACTCACCAGTTCATGATTCAATTGTCTGATGAGTGTTTGAAGTGTCAAGAAAGCCTGGTATTCATCCTGGCATTAAACTTGACGCCACAGCATGGAAATGCCTGGACCTGCCTTTCACCTGCCATCCCCAGCAGATGGGGAAGCCAGGCCTGCTGCCAACAAAACACTTCTCAAAACATAACAGTAAACATCCTAAAGTAAATCTTTAACTGCATCAAGTTTCTTGAACATGTACCTGTGGGAATCTCAAGTCAACAAAATATGACTTCTGACATCATAAATGTTGAAGTGACTGACGATGGGCCACCTCACCCACCTCACCTCAGTTATAACATAACTGGCCCTGGAGTCTGGTTTTTGAGGACTTTACTCTGACAAGGCCCCTAAAATGAGAACTCTCCAGTTTACAATCTGACTCTTAAACAGATTTTATAATTTATATTCCCGATTGGCATTAGCATTACCAGTGAACTGGGAAAGTATGCTGAATATAATGTCTCTTTTTTTTTTTTTTTTTTGAGACAGGGTCTCCCTGTAGTCCCAGCTGGCCTGGAACTCACTACAAAGACCAGGCTGGCCTTGAACTCACAGAGATCCACCTGCCTCTGCCTTCCGAGTGCTGGGATTAAAGGCATGCGCCACCATGCCCGGCTAATGGCCCATATTTTAACAGAACAGATGCAAAACAAATGATATAGTCACTGGCCTCTAATGGCTTTTCCTACTTGGTCATGGAAAAATGGAACATAACAACTGTTTTATCAACCAAACCCCTTTTTACCCACTCTGACTTTGACACTGGTAACAGGAAACAGTAACTGGTAAAGAGGTATTCCGAGCACAAACTCTGCTCTGAGATTATTCATCCTGAGTCATTGCCATTAAAAGTTCAAGATGCTGTAAAGACCACTAGTCCATACACCCAAATCCCACATAGTTTTTAAGTGCATATCTTCTTAGCTCAAACAACTGTGAAGCCAGGTTTTCTTGTACCCAAAGCTCCCTTCAATTCCCCTGTAAGAGCCTTGCCCTCCTCCATGACAGGGATTGATCTGCTCATTGGTCTCAGACAATTGTGCTCTGTGTGGCTGGGTCATTTGCCATGACTGAGTGCTTTCCCAATATCTAGCACAATATACATGTATGGCAATATTCCAACTACTACTTCAATTAACTGACCCAAGAAATGTGCATAAAGAGATGCCTACTCTTCTGTGTGGATATACATATGTATTGGGGTACTGTTGCACATGTGTGCAAATGTGTGTAGAGGTGGGAAGTCAACTTCAAGTGTTGTTCCTCAGGAAACATGCACCTTGTTTTGGGGGGTGGCAGGGTTTGTTTTATTTTAACTTATCTTTATTTATTTATTTATTTACTTATTTATTTTTGAGACAGGGTGTCTTGTTGGCCTGGAGTTCACCTAGTTGGCTAGACTGGCTGGCCAGCAGGCCCCAGGGACCCTCCTATCTTCACCTTCCCAGTGCTGGGATTCCATAAGTTTACCATCACACCCAACTATTTATGTGGCTTCTGGGGATAAAACTCAGGTTCACGCTTATTTGAAAAGCACTTTACCATGTGGGCCATCTCCCCAAGCCCCAAGGGCTGCCAACTCCTTACAATAAAAAACAAAGAAACAAAAAAACAACTAAATCTTTCAGGTCCTATAATCTCATCTCTTGACAAAGTATGTGATAGATGCAGGAAAAGTAAATTTTAAAGATATGGATAGACAGATGTAGGGCAAGACAATGATTTTCATCAGGCCTTGAAGTTTCTCTGTTCCAATCATAAGTGACATTTATTTCATTATGAGAATGCATCAGAAACCAACAATAAATACCTTTCTTGTTTAATTATTGGAAAATCCCATAAAGCAAATACTACTAATCAGATGATATTTTATCATTTTGAACATACATTTTCTTCTGAGCCTTATAAATTCCCTGGATGAATGACCCAGAAGAAATTGGTTTTACCATTAGGGCCCTATAAACAAAGATTTTGCAGGACAAATTCAGTCAGTTTCAGTCTCAGTCCTCGGCCCTTATTAAATAGCCCTGAAGCTTCGAAAGCTTGTTCCACTGATATGAAGGCACAGAAATATCTAGAAAAAGAAGAGTTCTAACTTTCAAACCTCATAAGCCAGGCATAGTAACTCATGCTTGCAGTCTCAGAACTTGGGAGGTAGAAACAGGAAGAACAGGAGTTCAAGGTTATCTTTGATTACCTAACAAGTTCAGGCCAGTGTGGGTTACATGAGACCCTGTCTCAAAACAAAATAAAACTTTATCAAATTTCACTTAGTATTCATTACTCTTCAAAAAACAATGGCAGTGTGGTGATATTGGAATATGGTCAACAGAGATAATTACCCATGATAAGAACACATTAATATAAAGAAATTGAGTAACTCCTATAAATCTTAATAGTCCTGGGAATACCTTTTTACTACAGCATGAGTTCATAATGAGTATAGAAATAGGTAAGCTATATAGTGTGTAAAAATCGAATGTGTGTGTCATCAAATTACAGAAAATAAGAGATAAAATTCTATACCTTGGAACCTGCCTTGAAATACATAATCCAGTCCTTGGCAGGAACACATAAAATCAGAAAACAAATCCATCCTGCCAACCCAGCCCTACCTGACAGATGACAGACAGTCGCTATGTTTGCTGCAGAGGAGGACCAGGAGAAGGAGAAGGGAAGAGGACAAGAAAGCAATGCGTGCCTGTAGTGACCGGCTCATATAGATGTAGTTCCTTACCTTAGTCAGAGCTTGGCCTAAAAGAGTCTCAAAAGCCTTCAGATTCAGATAAGGACCATTGTAGTAGGGATTATTTTGTGCTTTTCTTCCCAGCCAGTACAAGGTTATCAAAACCTGAACAAAAAGAACAAGATCAGTCTATTTGGTAACCAATTACAAGTTTAAATGCAGGTAGATTACAAGTTCAAATGCAGGTGGATAAATGGTAGCTCCTATTACTTTATGGATGAAAAGTAAACTCTTAAATTTATGATAAGGAAAAGGTTCACATTTAAAAAGAAATTTAATTATTCCTGCTAGATTTTATTTCTTTCTTTTTTTATTTTATTTTTATTTCTTGGTCTTTTTCTTTTTAACTTTTACAAAAACTTTATTGAGAGTTTCATATATGCATATAAGATGTTTTGATCAAATCCATGCCTACTCCCTCCCCTCCAACATTCCCCCCTCTGAAGAGGTAACCTTAAAATCTTTTAAGGATTAGATACAAGCTCCCAAATACTTTTGACATTTTGACATTTTTTGCCTTTGGAACAGAGTGTGTTGCTAACAGGCCCAAAGACATTTTGACTTTTAGCCAAGAAACTGACATTTTTGGGGTCATTTTACCCTAACTGCCTAGCCAATTCCTACCTCCTATTCTTATCACACCATCCTCTGAAGGGGTTACCCAAACTGCCAATAGGGAATAGGGACGCAGCCCACTCTGGCTCCATTCATGCTGAACAGGGATGCAGGGTGAGGCAACTGGAGTACCCCTTCAGTGGGTCTATCTAAAAGACCCCCAAATTGCATAACTCTTGTCTCTAAGGGGAAAAGAAAGTCCTTGAATCATGAATAGGAAATGTGAAGGAGAAGTAAAGGTAAGAGTAATTAGCATTACAAGTTCTAGACAGGGAACTAGAAAAAAGAACAGGGCAATTTTCAAATGTTCATATGAGAGTCCACTGGAGTTTCTTGACAAGGGTTTCCAAAAACATCCCTCTATTGTGTTCTTCCTCATTTTTCTTTTGTCTTCCAAGGCTGGACTAGTTGGCTGGGAAGAGTGGCTGGATACTCAGGTGAGGGTCCAGTGACCCTGCTTGGCACTCCTTTAATGAAGGAGCACAACCATCAACAAGCCCAACTGTGACTAGGTTTAGCAATCAGGCTCAGCCAAAGTTGTGATGATGGTAGTTATTTCATGCAGAAGGGACTGCTGGTTCTCAGATGGAAAAGCACAGATTCCAAAGGTAATCATATACTCTACTCTTAAGAAACCAGTTTTTTCAATGTATATTTTTATTAAATTTTTGTGCATCTCATACAGTGTCTTAATATTTAGATCTCTCCCCTATATGCACCCCATATAGCCCACCTGCAAGAGTTCATGTATTCTGTCATATATGTTGGGACTTTCGAGTCAAATTTGTGTCCCCAGATGTCCCTCTGTGTGAGTTCAATAATTTTAAGAGGAAAATACAAGGATGGGGGATATAGTTCAGTTGGTAGAATGTTGGCACTAGCCAACAGTTTGGTTCCCAGCATTGCATAAAACTGGGCCTGTTCGTACACATCTGTAAAGCCAGCACTTGGAAGATGGAGGCAAGAGGATTAGAAGTTCAAGGTCATATGTGTAGCCAGGCTACATGAGAAACTGCCTCAAAAGGGGGTGATAAGAGTAACCATAAGTAAAACTCTATGTGTTTGTGAGAAAGAGAGCGAGAGAGAGAGAGAGAGAAAATGAGAGAATGTGTGTCTGTGCATATGCAGAGGTAAGAGAACAGCCTTTTTTTTTTTCAGTTTTTGAGACAGGGTCTCCTTGTAGCCCCAGCTGACCTGGAACTCACTATGTAGACCAGGCTGGCCTTGAACTCACAAAGATCTGCCTGCCTCTGCCTAGGCTAGGATAAAGGCCTGAGCCACCATGCCTGAGCCACCATGCCCGGTGAGAACAGCTTTTAGAAGTTGATTATCATCTTCCACCTTTGTTTTGAGGTAAGATCTCTTGTTTGTTGCTGTTGCACTATGTATGCCTGGCCCATGAACTTCTAGGTGATTCTCCTGTCTCTGCCTCCTGTCTCAACATTAAAGTGCTAGGATTACAGATGCACATTACTGCATTTGGATTTTTACATGGATTCCACAGCTCCAAACTCAGGTCAGCAGGTTTGCACAGCAAGCTCTTTTACCCACTGAGGCATCTCCCTGGATTGCAAGTGAAGTTTCTAATCTCAATACTTTTACAATAAAACTACAGACTACACACCTAGAAATCAGTAATTCTCAGCTTCCTTAATGAGGATTTTTTTAAAATAAAGCTGTCACTTTTAGATAATTATCTGTAACTGAAAACTGACTCTTCCTCTCCCAGCATCTCTAAATAGTGTTTGCCTTAAAGTCTAATCTGATAGTTTCCTACTTGCTCCCCTAAATCTTCAATTGAGTTTGCCCTTCCACATTAGTAGCACATCAACCAACCTCCAAAACCTAATCTTTCCTCTTATACCAAAGTCAGAGAACATAAGCTCTAACCATGCATTGTGACACATATATTTAAGCGTACTTAAGAGTCTAACTAGTTGGTTTCTAGTTAAAATTTAATTAGAAAAGATGATACAGCATATCATCTTAGATTCAGCACTATTTCATAGAACGTAGAGTAAAAGCTATTTATAATATTCTTACATTTTTCACTCTCCTGTTAGTCTCTTCTTGCCTGAAAAGAAAAACACTGATTAGTAATGCCCACAGATCTGAAATTATTAACTATTACTAAAACTTCATTTTTATTTTAAAGCTCCATGAATATTAAGATCATCTGGGAGTTCAGAAATGTTAAAACACATAGCAGAAAAATGTCTCCATGGCCAATGATTTAAATATTATGGACTATATTCTCTATAAAAAAGAAAGGGCTTTGCTTATCTTATCATTTTATCTAATATATTCATGCTACTTGGTGGTTTGTTTCCCTTAAAGCAATGTTTAAACCCAATCGAGTTGTTTTTTAAAATCAGTGTGTGCTTATGACAAGAAAATTGAGGACAGGAACACACACACACACACACACACACACACACACACACACACACACACAAACACATGCTCCACTAAAAGAAAAAAAAACAAACATCTTTGCATCAAGTTTTCCTCTCCATTTTCTGCAGTTTTTCTCTCAAACTGCTGAGAGATCCTGGCCCGGTAGAAGCTGAAAGTTGTAGTTTAATAAATGGCCATGAACTTTCACCTGAAGAGTCCCCAATTTATTACAAGCATGGTGGGTCATTTTTGTTCACCTTTAAAAGAACATGATGTTTACAGGAGAATCAAAAGGAGGCAGATGTCACCTCAGTGTTGAAGAAGCAACAATGTGCTATGGAACAGAGCTAGGCCACCCTCGCACATGTTTCCATCACGTAGACACACAGCACCAGTGAGACTCCCTCTGTAGGAGTCTGAGCTAAATGGCCTCTGAAATAGTTTTCAGCCTAATTTTAACAGGTCAAACATAAAATACATGCATACGCATACTGTTAACATGTATGTAGAATACACACATATAAAACAGGTAACATACAACACACATTCATACATAGAGAGAAAAAGACAAATGTTGAAGAGAGCTTTCCAAGTATCTGTAAGGCAGTGATTCCTTTTCACAGAACAATATGAAGCAAACTGCATTTAGTAATATGTATCTCTCACCCCTCAAAAAATGTCTCAATAGAAAAATCTAAAAACCCTCACATTACATTACCTTACTGGGAGGAATGTAAATGGTACAACTATTTACATTCTGATCCCACTTAGTCCTATCTATTTAAGCTAAATATGCCCATATTCCATGCCCTACTAATTTCATTTTTAGGTATATGCCCAACAACAGTGTTTTTATTTGTTTACCAAAATTATACAAGACGTTTACAGGAGCTTTCTGTTACAGAGTACATACACAGTGAAATACATGCACGTGGGAACAAACAGTGGCAACTGCATTCAGCCCTATGCTCAATCTCACAAGTGATGGGAAGAAAATGAGTACAGATTAAATGAATGGATTAGGGGCTGGAGAGATGGCCCAGTGGCTAAAAGCACTGGCTGCTCTTGTAGAGGACCCAGGTTCAGTTCCCAGCACCCATGGTGGCTAAAAACCATCCCTAAGTCCAGTTCCAGGGGATCAAATACCCTCTTTTAACCTCTGCAAGTACTGCATATATGGATGCACTTATATGTGTGTGCGTGTGTGTGTATATATATATATATACACACACATATACATATATGTGTATATATACACATGTAGGTGAAACACTAAATAAATGAATGAATGAATGAATGAATGAATAAATAAATAAATAAATAAATGGATTAGCATAAAGTAGTAAAATAGGCAAAAGAAAGGCCTGTTGTTAGAATTAAGATAACAATTAGTCTTGGGGTAGAGAATGGGAAAAGGCGGTAGCAAAGGGCAAAGTCTCTCAGATGCTGGGAAATTGTACTTTGATATGGAAACTGACTACCTAAGCATATTCAGAAATCTTCAACCTGTAAAATTTTCAACTTATGACGCTATCTTTGAATTGTACATTTATAATACATATACTTTTCTTTATGTGTATTATACTTCAAAAAAGAAAAACTAAGAATAAATTTTACAGCCCAAGTACTCAAACTATAATTTATTTCTTCGATAAAAAGAAAATCATCTTGCCAGGTGTGGTGGCACACACCTTTAATCCCAGCACTTGAGAGGCAAAAAAAAAAAAAAAGGAAAATCATCTTGTGAAAATTAGTAACTTTTTTCCTCTGGAAATCATAAGTGGGGAATGTTACTAGAAACTGCTGTGAAAACAACTAGCCCTTTGTTCAAATAATGACTAATGTATCACTTCAAATAGTAAATTATCCAAAGCTCAAAAGTACCATGAATATGTAGAGGCAAGGGTATACAGGTGTCAAAGGGATCTCACTTTTATCATAAACACACTCTGAACAGCAAGAATAGAGTACTCTTGACCCCCTACCTCCTTCCCACAGTGCAAAACAAAGGTTTCCAGTCCAAGGCCTCCATCTGCTTTTAACTTTTTTATAATGATAAGCCATCTTTGAAAATGCAAGGTAAGACCTCCTACTCTACTAGATACAATAGCAGTGATCTTGCATTATTGCCCTCCATTCATTTTGCATTCCTTTCTAAATATGAGCATTTACAACATGCTCCTGAACATGACACAGGCCAGCCAAATTGCTGTCCTATCTGAAATGGAACGCCAGGAATTCAGGTGGTCAATGGTTTGCTGGAGTAGAGTTCACACTGACGCAACATCCCGGTGTATAAAGTCAGGAACCAGACAGCTCTTGGGCTTAAGTGACCACAGGGTACAACCCCAAGGCCTTTTAAATAAACAAGTGGAGACAGGAAGCTCAAGGTAATAAGCCAGCTTACTACACAATCCATCGGAACTGAAAGTAAACCTGCCCTAGTCCAAAGATGAGTAATTCCCTCACAGCCATTGTGTCCAAAGTTGACATAATACCATGTTTAAGGAGGAAGGGTTTGGGGTCAGATATGATTCCCACTGGTTATATTTATTTGGGCCATTTACTTTCAGACTTTCCACTCCCGTCTGATAAACTGGGGATAATGTCCCCTATTTCAACAGATTAAGAGGAAATATACAGACTAGGATCTCTACCCTCATCAAGAATTAGTCCTCAGACCATCAGCAAGGAAGGGCAGGGCCCTCTTATTTCCATTCTACCCACAAAAGCCTCTTGGTAAAAGCATACTAGATGCTAATGTTTAAGTTGTAACTTGCCTAACACTCCTAGCTTCATCCTGTCCTTTTCTGTATTTATAACCATCCTCTACATGCAGTTACTTTAATTTGTTTTGTGATACTGGGGATGGAACCCAGGGCCTAAGGTATCCTAAGCAACCACTCTACCACTGAGTCATATCCCCAAGCCCTGAATTTTATTAAATTTTTCAGCCTACCATGAGAATCCAAAAAGTTCTGCCTTGAAACAGGGTGTCTCACAGAACCAGAAGCTTACTGCTTAGGCTAGCCTGGCTGGTCAGTAAACTCTTAGGATCCACCCCTCATTGTTGGGGCTACAAGGCACATGTAGTCACAGCCAGGTTTTTACTCGAGTGCTGGGGATTTAAACCCAGATACTTATGTTTGTAGAGCTGGACTGAGCCACCTCCCCAACCCCAAAAGTTTCCTTTAAATCATATTTAACCCTTCAAAAAAAAAAATGTAAGTCTTTACAATCATGTATTCAATAACCCCAAAAGAGACATACAAAAATACAAAAACAAGCTAAATCTTGCATGCTGTTCTCTCTTAAAAAAATAAAAAGGTAAAGACTCCATATCTACATAAAAAAAAATTTACTGTAAAAGTGATAAAATGGGGGCTGGAGAGATGACTCAACAGTTAAGAGCACGGGCTACTCTTAGAGAGGATCCTGCTTTGATTCCCAGCGCTCACGTGGAAGCTAACAACCATCCGTAACTATAGTTCAGGGGATCTGATGCCTTCTTCTGACCTCCATGGGCATTGCACAACACGGGTGCACTCACATACATGTAGTCAATACAGTCATTCACATAAAATAAAAATAAGATATTTTTTTTTAAAGTGATAAAATGGGTCAATAATAGTCAAGTCATCTTCAAGCATAGCTATCTTGAATATTGTGGCAACCCTTATTCAATCCCTGGATCATGCACTAACTTTAAATGCTGCATTTAATACTTGCAAAAAAGCAAGCAGAGTATAGCTATTCCACACCGTTGCCTGAATAGTTCAGACAATTCCTTTGCTGCCTGACAAAGAATCAGCACATACGTGCCCATCACAGACCTTTGAACTGTGCTACCAGGCGACTCAAACAGCTGGCATCACCGTACCCTAACAGCCACATGGTATACTTAGACCATGGAACCTCTAGCTCTAATCCTTTTGCTACTCACAAATTTTAAAAAACTGGTAGGGATCAGTCAAGAATTAATTTTTAACCAGAGTACTAGAGAAATAAAAGGTCCAATCCAGATACCCTGACTCTCCTCAAGAGCTGCTATTCCAGGTTCTTCCATGAGGAGGCAGCTCAGCTCGGGGCTCTGGGGTCTACCCTGTGTATGTGTTCTGACTGCACTTTGACCTCTGTAAAAACTGATCCTGGTGCCTCACTACCCCCAAAGGCCCATCCATAAATGGGAACAACAGCATCAACCTCACTGGTTGCCAATGATATTCAATAGTGCTTAAGTCTGGCAGAGGAAGATATTTCAAGACTAGTCCTAGTTATCTACTTCAACCAGGCTTCTGGAGCTTAGGGTAGTGGCTGAAAGCCAGCCATCTTTTCCCCATACAGACTCTTTTCCCCTAGAAGAGACATTTCTCTGAAACATAGTTTTCAACACTAACACTCTGTCACATTATATTTTCCTTGACCTCTTAATATGGATAGCTTTAAGTAAGAATCTGAAAGTACTTCTAGAAGAAGATTGAACAAAGGACAAGACACACTGGCACTATCATCATCCAAGCATGCATGATGACATCAAGCCAACCCTCTCCACCCATCCTTGGGGTACCAACGCTGACAGCAGTCAAATACCCTTCAAGTTTTCCAAAAGCTCAACATTTGTTGGGGGAGGGATTGTCTGCACAGAAGTTTAACATGAAAGGTGAAAAGCCTCACCCC